TGGGATATATTGTAAAGGTGCTCAAGTACTCCCCTGGAATGAAGTGCCTCGGGGACTAACTGCAGTAAGTACAAGTTCTGGGTGATGCACACAGGTACCCCCAGAGCCTTAAATCGGCTCTGTGTTGGTTGTTCCTGATGTCCGAGGACAAAGCAGGTGAAGGGCTGCAAGGGAGCATGCCTCACTGCTGCAGGCATGAAGTGTTCCTCAGTGGTGATGGAAGTGTTATCCCAATCCTGTCTTAGGTGCAGTGCCCTTCTCCTAGGAGAGGTCTCGCCATTCCCCTGGGACAGAGAGTGTGGTTTTTCTCCTTCGACCTCTTCCCTTGTTTGTATTCTTTCCAGTAGGTTCCTGCTGTACTGTCTAATTTCTGATTGTGAACAGTATAGAAAAAGATTGTGGAACAGAATGATACCATCTCTTCCTGCTGTTTTGGAGATAGCATTGTGTGCCACCTCCCTGTGGCAATAAAAAATGTAAAAGCTACATTTCTTATCGAGACAAGCCAGAAACTCTGTTGGATTTTTATTTCCTGTCTTTGAATTGCTTCTCTGCGTAGGATGCTTTATTTCATCACATGCTTACCTCTCCTCCTTTCCTACAATGTTAATGTATCCTCTTATGCTCACCTGGGAGATGTTATCAGTTGTATGCAAAGCAATTTCTGTGTTGCTAAGCTATTTTGAAGCTTGTCATAATGCTCCATAAACTACATAAACAGTAAGCTTTTTTTATACAGATGTCTTCATGGTTTTCTGTTTCTCGTGCTACATAAGGACAAAAGGGTGGTCGGTACCTGGAGCTGGTAGGATGGAGACTGAGGGTGAAGCTTCTGGGACTGTCCTTTTTAGGCTGTCAGTGCTAAACTCTGGCTGTTAGAGGTGCCATGAATTTTTGAAGTCCTTCAGTGTGTTGGTTTTCCTTCAGCTCAGTTGGGAGGAGGAACCTTCAACTGCTGCTGTTCAGATCTGTAAACAAAGGCACTGCAGCATCCTTTTCAGTAAAGCCTGATGGGTGAGTTTATGTAACACAACAAAACCAAATGGAAACGTCACATCTAAATTGAGCTGTTATTTCTCCTGCAGAATAATTATCAATAAACCTTGTATCTGACAGCATCAGAGTGTCCGAAGTGCTCTGAGCTTCTTTGCAGCCTGGTAGCAAACCAGCTTTGGAGAGAAAATGTTACTAACTCTAAGCCATGATCACCTCTGGCATGTGTCTGAAAGCAGCACAGTCTTACTTCACTCAGGCACTAGTTGTTTTGCACTGATAAGGTTTAGTAGCACCACTTGGAGCTGTGGGTATTGTGCATCATTCAAGCTGGGATGCATAGTGTTTGGGCCAAAACAGATTTCCAGACATGAGGCTGAAGGTCTTTCTATTTTCTTATTTCTCTAATAACAAGTTTCAGATGGATTCTAGTGCTGCAAGGCAGAGGTCAGTGATTACTAGTGGAACAAGATGGGGATTTTACCATTAAGCACTGTTCTCCTGTGGGACTATTGACTGTTGTTAATGCATGAACAGTGCAAATTAAAATGCAAAAGATTGTTGAAAATTAGTGTTTTCAATATAGGAGCAGTAGGATACTTCAAGAGAGTTTGGGGGTTTTCTTGCAAACAGCATGTTTCTTAAGATACATTTGACCTTCAAGAGGAGCCAGGTTTTGGCCTATTTACTGGAGCCATCACATTTCACTATTTTTCTTTCAAAACATGTTTTTAAAGTAGCCAAACAAAAACATTCTTCCTTGCACTCTTTAGGACAAAAGTACTGTCTAAGGTATTTAAGTGCTGTCTACAAACAATATCCACCCTGGGGTACAGCAAAGTCTTGGAGCCTAAGTACTTGACCATGGAATAAATGGAAATATTTCCTTCTAAGGCCTTCCCTTTGGTCACATAAAGAGAGGAAAAAGCCGAAGCAAAACAAGAACTCCCTTTGAAGTAGTCATTTATAAAGGCAACACGCCAGCATCGCTGCATCAGGAGATTTCAGAGAATAGAAACACCAGCACTTTGTTGTTGTATATACCTGAAAACTGCGAGTATAGAAGAGTTTAATTGTACCTGTTTGTCCTGGTGCTGTATCATGGTGTATGGGGCTAATAACTTCCATTTGACAGCAGATCTCAGTAGTGATTAGCAGAGGAAATTCTGGTGCAGATGCATCACAACTGAGGCTGCTTTATGCTGTTCAAAGAACGCACAGGAGAACTGACTTGAATAGCAAACTGGGGAAATCAGTGAGTGCATTTGCTCTAAGTGCTCTCCTTGGCACAGGCTGGAGTGGTTGGTAGGAGCATGCTGGGTTCCAGTAACTCATCACTAGCAAAACAGTCCCTTTGAGTGTGCTCTGAACCGATGCAAGTTAAAATACTGCTGATGCACTCAGTCCTTTCTCTTCCTGTGTGCTTAGGAAAAAATGTAGCATAGTTGGAGCTCTAGGCCCCTGTGTTCGTTGTAACTGGGGGATTTTACAAGCACTTTCAAAGGACGTGAGAGAGTTTGAATATAGAGAGCAACTTGGGGTCTGTTACCAAAGAAGAATCCAACCAGTATCAAAGGTGGCTTCTTCCAAGTCAGAATGACATCTCATGCAGATTAATTTGTCACCAGCCCAGTTCTCTGCAGGAGGAGACAAAACTGTTGTGAGACCTGAAGCTGGGTTTTGGTGCTTGTTGCTGGATTGTCAACAAGCTCCTCCTCAAGGGTTTGGAATTAATTGCAAAAATAGGGATCTTTTTACCTTGCAGATTCTTTGTACACATAGCCCAGGGTGAATGCAGAATACACACGTTCACACACAGTCCCTTCTGCTGCAGAAATCCTGATTTCTCATGTCTCTTTGGGAGAAGCAGAAATACTTTTGGACCTATGGGTATTCCGGTCATAGGAGTATCTTGCTAGAGAGTGGGTTGAGATTCTGTTCCTGGGTAAAGCAGTTCTCTTAGGTGCTGTGCCTTTGTCACCATGTTGGCAGAGGTGCTGATACAGCATAGGCCAGGAGAAAAAGTCCTCTGTTCTTCTAAGTACCACAACCATCCTGCCTGGACAACAACGCTTGCACTGACAGCAGCTCTCTTTTCTCCTGGCATGGAAAGCCCCATGTTGTGGGGCTTTGCAAACATATTGAAGTTGGCCAAGAGTGTGATATATATGTGGTGCTTACATGGTTATGTGGATGAACCTTTGTCGTCTAGACATGGCCCGAGTTGCGCTGTGATTTCAGGGAAGTTGCTGTTCTCTGTGCAGACTCAGTAATAGAAATGCTGCTGAATACTGTGGTAGGTATTATTTCTATGCAAAGTGCTCTGGGGTTTCTAAAAGCCCCTCCACTTCTGCTCTGCAGTAAAGTGTAATGGTGCTCTGGAGGCTCCTAGACTGCATTGGTTCATGTGTTGAGGCAAGCTGAAATTGGATCAGCTTTTTAATTCTGGGGTAATTCATGGCCTGAGCTTGGTGGAGTGGGAAAAGATCATTGCCTTGTGCTCCAGAGAACATTGTGGAGAAAAACTAGCACCTCCTCAAACAGGAACTATGCAAGGTCCAGTGAAACTAATGAATAGATGTTCTTCCAGTGCCTATCATTCCCATTTCTCCAGCCTCTGAAGAGCACTTTTCAAGGCATGTGTAAGCAATAGATTTTTGTAGCTTGATCTCCATCTGCAAAGTGCCTAACTCCTGTACAAATGTTTTATTGGGTGCTTATTTTGACCATTTTATTGTGAGCCATTAGAAAATGAAACTCAAGAGGCTGACTAAAATGTCTCGTCACATAAAGGCACTTACAAGACAGGTCAGTTTTACTCCTGTTATGATAACGTGAACTCCCATTAACTTGTGTTACAATCCCATTTTTGATGTAGGAATAAATTTGGTGCAGTCTGTTGACTCTGAGCAGTTTCAGAGCATCACAGAGCACAAACCCAACTAAACCTTCCAGCTCTGGAGAGAATGAAGACTCTTCTGTGTCATAAACAATGCTGGGGCCCTACAGTAGTTTTGCAATACCTCATATCTTACCAATTCCCCAGCAAATGAAGGTTTAAAACATGAAATTCTTTAAAATTATGGATTAAAATGATGACAGTGCTACTCTCCAAGCCACCTTACAAACATTTCTATACTTAAAGTGATGGTGGAAAACATTAATTATTAAAGAAAAAAACATTTAGATTTTTTTTCTGCTTGCAGCATGAAACATTTCAAATCTATTCAAAACGGGTTTAGTTGGTTTGTGTTCTGTCTGACTGAAGCACAGCAGCCCTGCAGGTTATGCAGATGTGCTGTGAAATCGGGGTGCTGTGCACTGTGATAGAAAGGTACCGCCTGGGGAAAGGTGTTTTAGAGCCAGGAGAGCATGCATGTGGTCTTCTGGTTTCTCTTTAGAACTGCAGAGGGAGAAAGAAAGGGAAGGTCTTTCTACCCTTTGCACTGCTGTTCAAGGGTTATGCAAATACATCCCTATCCCACTCCCTCAAGCTGTTTGGGAGGTAAAAGGTGGCTGCTCTCTCAATCTTCGCTTTTCATTCTCTCTGTGTCTTGGGGGTTTAGCTCTGTAAGAATACGTATGTGAGCCTTACTGAAGAGATGCTCTGCCTTGGAATTTGTGGGAAATCTAGAGCTTCAGAGGAAGAGAAAGCTTTAAACCTGAATTATAACCAGTCACATCCTTTACTGGTGAAGTTTAGCAGCAATTGCGGCCAGAGGACTATTTAAATGCCAAGCCATGTGGTTATCTTTACTTGCTTTGAGTTATGTTTTAACTACATTTCTTTCATGTAAACCACTTAATTTCTCCCCATTTGAATTGAATAGGTTAAAACATCCTAATTCTGAAATTGTACATAAGTGTTGATATCCTGTGAGTGACAGAACATTGTGTGCATCAAATCCTGTCTTAAAAAGGGAGTAAATGGCTGTAGTCTTTACAGAGTACATCACATGTCTGAACTGTCTGATGGGGCTTACCAGAGTTTTGTTCTTCTCTTGCAGGCATTATGCTGCTCGAAGTGTTCCTGCTTCTGGGTTCAGTCATCATCTACTTCTTATTTTACAAGAAGAAAGAAGAAACATTGCCCTTCAAAGAGGGATGGTGGGGCAAGGGACAAAAGCCTGCTGCTGAAGAAGATACAACTATTCGACCATTCAAGGTGGAAACTACAGAAGAAGAGCTGAGTGTAAGCAAATCTTTATACTGGGGAGATGTAAGAAATGGCCAAATAAATGCAGAACTTGTTCGGAAGTAATTTTTAAGTTGAACCAATAGTTACATTTATGAGAATGAGCAGTGATGTGTGGGACCTGGGGGAAGGGATTTGTCAGGACTTCCCAAGATAGTTATGTATAGACAGGTTTCACATATTGCTATGCAGTTTTACTCTCAGCTGGCTGTTTCAAGATTGCCAGGAAATAAACCCACTCTGTAAAGTCCAATAAACATAAAACTCATATTACAGATTACTCAGCTCTGTGTTTCTGTTTGTGCACCTCCCTCAGTTTGAGTGTAGATCAAAATATGAACAATATCTCTTCTTTTTTCCTTCAAAAGCAGTTACAAACATTTCATTTTCTTCCCTGCTTTATGTGTGCAGCTGTGTTGGGTGCTGCTTCTTCTGTAATTGAGGATCTACTTTGATCAACAGCAGTACCACAGTGGTAATTACAGTAAACGCATACATTGCAGAATGTGTTAGATAGCAACGTTTTGATTCTATGTGTTTAAGTCGGGGATTGCAGAATTTCATAGGTCTGTCTGGAGTTGTGGTTCAAACAGGGCACATTGGCTTGTCCATATTATTAATTTATAATGGATTTCTATTCTCTCAGTAAGGCCTGAGACAAAACTTGTGTTTGCCCTTCTTAGTAGTATCAATGGGCATTAATCTCCAATATGTTTCCTCCTTATACTGCAGACACAAAGCTAGATAATTTCTAACTTACAGATGGTTTTGAAACATGCAATTCTGTATTATGGCAGCTATTGCAACATAGTCCATTGGTAGAAAACTCTCTTCCTAAATGTATTCTTGCCCAAACCTGGAGCTGCAGTTACGCCAGCGTATGTTACTAGCACATTTTTAAGAGGTGTTGTGCATGGACAGAAAGCACGTATGTAAAGACATGGTAAAAACTTCATTTTAAAATCCATGCTTTCTGTACACGTGTTAAATGCCCAAACAGTGAGCTTCAGTACTAACATCTTGCCTAGGCTTATATTGCCTGTTCACTTTGAGTCATGCATACACCTAAGTCAGAGTCAGAGCTATCTCTATTGCTATATTAGAAAATGCTGTTCAGGTTTAAACCCCACAGAGGCTTGAGTAGGATTAGATTTCCAGACCTGCCTTCCATCCTCAATTCTGTGGCTCTGTATGCATTGGGAAGGGGCTCTTGGCTGTTCTTCCCTGCCAAGTGTTTTTGGACTGTTGTGCAGTATCATCAATATCCCCTGTAACCTTGAAGTGCAGTAGGAAGGTGATTTTCGTAGTTATTCTATATTGGGAAACTTTAATTCCAGTCTAGTTTCACCAGCTTTGTGGCCATGCAAAATCCCTCAGTGTTTCCCAGTGAAGACATCCAGCCCCTCGGTTTGGGAAGGAAGACAAAAGGTTTGGGCCAGATCCATGCATTGACTGTGAGGTTGGGCTCACAAGTAACCTGGGGAACAGCACACCATGGAAAGGCATAAAGACTGAAACTGTGAAAGCACTGTACTGTCAGATGAGTGTATTGTCCTCTGTGGTGACAGTGTTAAGAACACCTGTAAATGGAAGAGGAAGGAGGCCATCTGGAGGAGAAAAAGAACTGGAACAGCTGATGGAGTATCAGCAAAATGCACAGGTGTCATTAGAGATATTATTTCCATTGTTCTCATTTCACTTGGAAATAACTAGAAACCATGCACAGCAGAGCTAGAGCCTGAGATGGCACACACAAGTGCTTGTAATGTCTCTTCTTTCTTTTTCCCTGCAGGACTTGTATAGGAGACTTGACCAGGCTCGATTCACTGAGCCACTGGAGGACAGTTGCTTCCATTATGGGACTAACTCGGTGTACCTCAAGAAGGTTGTCTCCTACTGGAAAAACCAGTTCAATTGGAAGAAACAAGTTGAAGTCCTCAACAAGTACCCACAATTCAAAACTAAGATTCAAGGTGTGTGGCTTTTTCCCTTAAGAAAACCCCGGCAATACGTAACCTTGTCTGCAAGGGATCTTGGTGGCAAGAGTGCTGTGGTTGTGTCATGTCGTGTGGGCCTTCCCTTCCTGGCTGCTGTAGTGTAGATTATTGGCATTGTTGCTGAAGCAGCAAGAAATTCCTTCATCACAAGCCTTTAGGACATGGAATGACAAATGGAATTCCCTTGTGCATGGATGGGTTGTCAGCTGGTGTTAACAGGAGCCAAGCACAGGCATTTGGAAACAGAACCGGGATCTTAAGATGTACACATGTTCCCTGGCTTGCATGCAGTCATGCAAAGATCCCCACAGATGTCTCCTCTTGCTCCATGTAATTCCCCAGCTGCTGCTGTCACAGTGATGCCATCAGCCTGGCAGCCCTCCTCAGCTGGGCATGCTGCCTGCTCAGGTTGGCCCTGTTTGCAAGGCAGATGTGCTCTGCTGCACCATTTCAAGCATTCCTGTGCCCAGGAAGGCAGGATGTGCCTTTCACTTCCTTGATGTGCTGCCAGGTGTGAGCGAATGGTGTGGCATCTCCTCCAAAGCATAGACACCTTTTGAAAGAGGCTGTTCAGCACAAGGGCTGCTTGTGCTGGAGCTTGGTCAAACTGGATGTTTCACATGCTTGAATGAAGGTTGTGCTTGGGTAATCTGGGGGTACAGGTGTCCATTTAGAGCACAGCAGGCAATTGTCTTGCATGATGGCAAAATTTAAGATTATGCTCTTATGTTTTCAGTTGCACCCGTAATCGTATGTTATTCCATAATATTTAAAATTGATTTTGGACAATAAATGGTTGTTACATAGGGGTTAAAACATAAAGATTTTATTTAAAGTGGAAAAACCATCATGTGAGACAAGAAAGGGAAAAGAAGCAAAAGACCGTGCTCTATGTATAGCAATAGGAAGAGAAATTTCAACACTAGGAATGATTACAGAGATGAGACATGAAAAGGCAAGATCAAACATGCTGCATAGCAGATTCCCAGCTTCTGTCATCACTTGAAAGTTCTTCAGAGAATACAGAAATCCACAGAGTTGTCAAAGATGGGGAAATCTGTCAGTGAAAGGGTGGGATTGCTGGTGAGCTGGAGCTCAGGAGAGCAAAATGTGCTTAAATACATCAAGAACTGAGGCATTCAGGCTCTACTAAGAGCAAATTACTATTTCCTGGAAAGCAAAGCCCTGAATAGGTCTGAGGAAGAGCAGTTCACCTCAACTAGTGCAAGCTGTGTGAGACCTACTGGTTGTATTGTGATGATCACAAAGGAAATGGGTCTGCAATTTTTACCTTTTTACTTAACAATGAGGAGACTGGAACTAGAACACAGTTTCCTGTTTTGGTTTATACAAAGAGACACTGAAAACTTTGGCCAAAAGGTGGAGAAGAGCTACAGAATTGAACACTTTAACTCTCTTTCAGCATGGCATTGTTTCAGATCCTTGATTCGGCATGGTTGGTTTATCAAGCAGTTGTGTGATTTGATTACAGGAGGCCTCCACAGGCAGAGAATACTTGCTGAAGGCTTTTTACATTCCTTTTGCTGTAAAGCTCAGATCAATGGCTGGAGACAGAATCCAGACACGTTTAAATGATGCACAAAACAAGGGAAGTGATTAAGACCCGAAACAAAGAGCTGCTGGTTATGAGGAATTCTCTGTCTCTTGGTGCCTCCAAGTTGCAACCGAGTGCAAGAAGTGTAATCTGCGGTGGGCTGAAGCCTATCTGGTGCCATAGAGCAACATTCGGGTAAAATTTAAGGGTGCTTGGACTAAATGATGTTATCACCTCCTCTGCCTTTAAGCTGTGTGAGTCACTGTGTTACCGTTAGGAGATTGCTTCACTTCTGTGCCTTAATTTGCCAATTCATTTTAAAACAGAAAGATGCCGACCTCATTTGGCTGCTGTGGTGCTTAATTCCTCATTATAAAGTACTTTGAGGTCCTTGGCTAAATGGATCCAGAGAAGCACAGTGTCTGGATACTCACCAAAAAAAAGGACTTCAGAGAAGCTTTATTCATGCTCTGTTCTGTGCTGAGTTTCAGTGTCATGGGAAATCTGGGCATGTTAATGACTGACTTTCTTTATACAGGCATTGATATCCATTTTGTTCATGTGAAGCCTCCTCGTCTGCCTGAAGGCCAGTCTGCAAAGCCACTGTTAATGGTTCATGGCTGGCCTGGCTCATTCTATGAGTTTTACAAAATCATCCCTCTCCTGACGGATCCTGCCAGCCACGGCCTCAGTGACGAACACGTTTTTGAAGTCATTTGTCCATCTATCCCTGGTTATGGTTTTTCAGAAGCACCCCACAAAAAAGGTATGATCTGTGAGAAGAAACTGAGCATAAGCCTAGTCTCACAGTGAGATAAACCCCATTAGCAGAACAGTAACTCCTGGCACTGTTTTTCCCAGTCTAGAAACAAAGATCCTGTGTGCCCTGTGGGAAGAGGGAGATAAGAGTGTGATGTCAGGTGACATCATTACTTAGTTTCAGGAGCACTGTATAGACAATTTACAAAGGACGATAAAAAGTTATGAAGTGACAACTCATGAATTGAAATGGAGTCAATGAATTGCGTAGGGGTGAACAGGAAGAGTAAATTTAATTTGTTACTGTTCCTCTTGGGTGTTTCGAATCCATATTCAACAGCATTACACAGGTAGGTGAGAAGCAAGGGTTGAAACAAATCAATTCATGTATTTGCATGGTAGGTTGCAGCCAAATGCCTGCTTGTTCAGCTTGTGCTCTGGTTTATACAAACATAAGCTGCAGCTAATTGGAGCAAGGTAGTATTTAAAGTGAAACTGAGGTTAGTATTTCGTTATGTGTGCAGGTGAATGATGTGGGGAAGGCTGGTTTTCTCTGCTTCCTTGGTTATGATTTATACAGTCACCATTTAGTGGAGAAGTGCATTACCTGTGGCAACTTCAGGCTTTTCATCATTAAGATGAGACTCTGCTCACTGTACACAAAATGGGAACACATTCCTTGTGCAGTGCTCACCGACAGGGCTCTGCTGGAGTATGATTACAGCTTAAAGAACTCTAGGAACCCCTTGGTGTGGCAGTTGGTGGGGTTAGGAGAACACGAGTCTGCAACGAAGGCCTTGTGGTTTCTGCTTGCTCCCTAGACCTTGCTGTTAGGCAGTCAAGGAAAACCAGACTTTGAACTTAAACTTTGCCTGTATGGGGAGAATAAATGCTGCACAGGCAGCAGCACAGCTGGAATTACTGCAACAGTGTTGTTCGTTTGTTTTTAACACAGACTTCAATTCTGTAAGTGCTGCTTCTGTTTTCTATGAACTGATGCTCAGACTGGGATTCAACGAGTTCTACACACAAGGAGGTGACTGGGGCTGGCTCATCTGCACAAATCTGGCCCAGATAGCTCCTAAGTGAGTACCCTGCTGATGCAGTGCTGCATGATTGACATACAGAGCTGCTTTATTCTCTGAATAGCTATTTCTTGCGCACTTGAGAGCTTCTGTCCAAGTCCTCATCTGTAGTTTCCATCTCCAGTGCTCAGAGTTAAGCAGTGATCCAAAATTACATACCTTAGTTTACATTGTATACCTGTTCTTTCAACCAGTAGCGCAGTAGTTTTGCAATGGCCCCACTGGCTCTGGAGTGGTAAATGTAATAGAAGGAGGATTTGTGGCTTAGTGCCCAGGAGTGTGTGCTGATTAGCGACAGTTGCCCCTTTGACTTGTCATTTTGGGGTGAAAAGCCACATTGCAAGGTACAGACAAGGACATGCTGTAATTAGCAGGTTGGAATTTAAATACCTGTTAAGTGTCAATGTCTGGTAATAACATTTTAAATATAACAACTTTGAATCACATTTTACTTGTTAATTTATGGGGACTTTTTCTGCTTTGCTTTTCAGCCATGTGAAAGGTCTCCATTTAAATCTCGCCTCAGTTTCCAACATGGGGTTCACTCACCTGCTCTCCATCCTGCTGGGCCGCTATCTTCCAGGGCTCTTTGGTTTCCAGGATGAAGATGTCAGGCGGATGTTTCCCTTCTTAAAGAAAGGAGTCTACAAGATCTTGATGGAGTCTGGCTACGCTCACATACAGGCTACAAAGCCTGATACTGTTGGTAAGAGAAAGACTCCATTTGAGCTCAGAATATTTAGTCTGGTCATTTCATAGAAACCAAACATAGTGCTTAAAGTATGCAGAAAATCAGGTTTTGTCAGGGAAGCTGAAGTAGGAGGTTTGAGGGTTTAAAAGGTTCTGTATCCAAGTCAGAGAAGGTTGCATGGGGGTATATGGCATTACACTTGCTTTTGAATGCAGAAGCAAGTAAATCTGCACCACAGAACTGAGCATGCTCTAAGTGCCACTGACCTCATTTTCAGTTTTCATTAATAAAACAATTTAATACTTTTCCACTTGTGCTATCACTGGGGACTGTAATTCTAGTTCACATGCAGCTATGCTGAGAGCAAAAGATACTTCACAGAGAATGGATCACATTCAAATGATCCATTGTAATATTTGATTTGGTATCATTATGATGGGGCCTACAAGGATGCAAGAGAGGGACTCTTCATCAGGGACTGCAGTGACAGGACAAGGGGTAATGGGTTCAGACTGAAGCAGGGGAAGTTCAGGTTAGATATAAGGGAGAAGTTCGTTACTGTGAGGGTGGTGAGGCACTGGTACAGGCTGCCCAAAGAAGTGGTGAATGCTCCATCCCTGGCAGTGTTCAAAGCCAGGCTGGACAGAGCCTTGGGTGACATGGTCTAGTGTGAGGCATCCCTGCCCATGGCAGGGGGGTTGGAACTGGATGATCTCAAGGTCCTTTCCAACCCAAACCAGTCTACGTAAACTACAAGAAGCTTTAGCTTTTAGCTGTCTCAGCACACAATGTAGCTTCTTTTTAGGGATAACTGATACCTGAAAAGTAGAATCAAATTTAATTTTCACGCAATCACTTGCAGACTTTCAAGGAAAAAAAAGATGTACCTATGAATGTGCTATCTGGATAAGCTAATCACTCAGATTGCCTAACTGCTAAAGTATCTGAGTTTTAAGTGTTTCTGTTTTAAGAACATCCTTTGCAACTGGACATACTGAATATATTTTAATTTAGTGCAGCAGCAATTTATTTGTGGATTTTATTAAGAACATAGCTAAGGAAAGTATTTCTTAATGTTTTTCTATAGCTTACCTGCAGAAACTTGTATGTTCTTAAAATCTGTAGGCAAAATGGGAATTTTATTGATTTTAAGTAATTTTGAGTTTTGTTTTCTAAAAATTACTAGCCTCTAATTGTGTTTGTGCTTTAAGATGGGAAGCTGGTAGCTGGACAGTGCCAAGCCATGTGCCTTCTGCTGTGGTTTCCCATTTGACTCTTGTTCCTACCAGTAATATGTGGTCTGTCAGAGCGGACTGTGCTGACTGGGAACCAAGAGCCAGCTCATGTTTTGGGAGCCGGAGCATTCCTGCAATTCTGAGGACAAAGAGGAGAGGAGCATGGCAGGTGGCAGGTTCCCACAGGGAGAAAAACACTCTGAAGAAAGCAACATAAGGTGGCTTGACGAAGCACAGCCACGGAGGCTACCACAGTCAGGAAGACTTCTGGTAGTACAGGGCTACCCTGCAAGCTGCTCTAGGCGAGGAAGTTGTCTCTGGCTATTGAGATAGCCAGATACAGATATACACATAGTGTGTGTGTATGTGTATTACACACACACTGTGCTTCCTAATACTGTACTCTTGCTTGCCTCAGAGCTGGCTTTTCATCAGACTGTCTTGCATGGATTTGATTTTACACATACTCTTTGGGAAACCTGCATGGAGCATGGATTTGTTTTCAACTGGCTGGCATAGGCAGTGCCTGTATTCCAAGTACTGTTAGGATCAGTGTCAGTTTTCCCTCTGTGTAAACAGATGTACCCTTCTTTGTTCACAATATGTACATGAGAACAGGCTATTGCTTGTCAAACAGGTCAGTACAACTTTCCCAAACACTTGGTATTTCAGTTATCAGTATTAGTTGTTTGATAACTGAAACTCAACTATCATGTTTAAATAGCAGTTACTGCTGAAATTCTGCTAGCTCTAGCACTAGGCATCTTTCAGGAAGGTTGGGTTGAATGGGTGGAACTTCAAATATATTGCTGCTCCTTGGGGAAAAGCTTTTTCTAAGGCTTTTCCTAGCAGCTGAGACAGTTTATGGTCCCTGTATTTCACAGCACAAGGATTAGCAAAGTTCCAGGTGCAGGTGTGTGTTTTCTGTCCAAGCAAAACAAACTATAAAAAGTATATTAAGCCTTGTTATATGTGAAGGCAGTTGGTGGTTGTTAATTCAGAAGAAGGACCTTTTAGTAAAGCTTTGCTCTTCCTTAATGACTTTCTAATAATCCTTAAAATGTTTTTGCTGTTAGATAATGTTGCAGATTCTCCCTGTCATGTGTAGGCTTGCAGGGTTTGTCCCTGTAATGCTGTTTAATACATGACAACTTCCAGATTAATGGAAGCAAACCCTACTTGGCACACAGTCCTTAATCGTATTAGCTTACAAGGGGTGGGGAGGAAAAAAGCCAGCAGAAATCCAATACTGTTACATCAGTTCAAAAAACATATGGTTTGAGCTAATGTGGAGCCTGTTGGTTTGCAGATACTATCAGACTATGAATCAATAATAAATAGCTCCAACTTGTTCTACTGTATTTATTTAGGAATACAGCTGCTGGAACAGCTTTGTAAAGTTACCTACCCTGTGTTATAGCTCCTGTAACAGTCTGAGTTCAGTAGTAAGGTATCACAGTTCTAGTGAATTTTTCCTCCTTTTCAGGCTGTGGTTTGAATGACTCTCCTGTAGGACTGGCTGCGTACATCTTGGAGAAGTTTTCTACATGGACTGATCCAGAATTCTGTAGTTTAGAGGATGGAGGACTAGAGAGGTAAGCTGTTCCTCCTGTGCCACTTTGGACAAGGTGACAGAGTTGTAGCCAAGAAAGTTCGTCTGAATTGATCACCTTCCATCTCACAGGGAGCCTGTAGAGACCACAAGAGGTGCAGTGCTGTGCTACAGCATGCAGAAAAGCAAACAGGCAATGAAGGCTGAGGTACTCCCTTCCCAGTTTGATCTGCAGCTTCTGGGTATTGAAAACTGACCTAGGTGGAAGAATCTCATTAGGACAGAAAAACAGAATTTCAGTTCTACATTAAGAGGCTGGGAAACAGAACTTATGACTCATTTTAATACTAGAAGTTAGCACTCCATGAATTTGCTTTAGATTCATTCATAGTGGCTTCATCTACGTACTGTTTGCTAATAAAGGATAATTCTTGGTGTGCAAGAGATGACTTTGAAGATTGCTGGGTACCTGGCAGTAATGGAGTAAAGGGGCACATTATGAAAAGGACCAGTGACCTATTCAGTGGATTTGAATAGAGAGTTTGCACTGCATACAGCTAATTTGATACGAAACACACTCTGTTTACAGTTCATGTTGTGATGGTTCTACTGAAGGCTCACAGTAACATTCCACATTATGAACAGTAAATGGCACAAGCTGTTCCATGTGCTTGTCTGCTCCTACTCTCCCAGTGTATGGACAGTACAGTGCTTGTTCTGAGTCTGCCTTCCATGTAGGAGTTAAGATGTCACTTCCCAGTTTGTGTCTGAAAGCCTTTAACATGCCTGAATGTTAACGTGTCAGTGACAGGCAGAGGGGGAGCAGCTTCCCCTCTGAACTCTCTTCTTAACCAAGTTAACTATTTTTTCCTGAAACTTTTTTTTTTGCAACTAAACCAAAGTCAAGTTCCTTTACAGTACTGGTATTCAGTTCTAACTAAGCAATCAATCTCTGGGCTTACCTATTCAGGAAGTTTCACCTGGATGATCTGCTCACCAATATCATGATCTACTGGGTGTCAGGCTGTATAGTCTCCTCCATGCGTTTCTACAAAGAAAATCTGCAGAAGGGGATAGGTACACAGAAACATGAAAGGTAAGTGTTCTGGTTGCACACAGGTTGCTTATGCCTTATGGCTGCTGCAAGTTTCTGAATGCTGAGGAAAAGCACTGCTGTATCACAGTGTTCCCCTGCAGGACAGGTTGTTAGTTATACCATCATGTGCTTGGAAAACACAGTAGTTAGGTAAGAATCCTCAACCATCAGTAAGGAGACGTGATTGGAGGCCCTGTCTGAAGACCTCCCATTCTTGGTGTATCCAACTGGGGAAGACTGCCTGCGACTGAAGCACGCGGTTTTGTTTATAGCTTATCTGTATGGTAGTTCTAGGACTTTTCTGGATACAGTTTGCCTATTTCTACAAAAGATTTAAGTGCTCTGGAAGCAACTTCAGCATACTGACAAACTGCACGATTTGGAAGTCACCAAGACTGATGTTCCTGCTGTGCAGACACTTAAAACAGGAGCTTGGTTGCATATACTTGTGTCAGCTTGAGTATTAGTGAAGGCTTAAACCTGCCCTGAGGTATTTGCAACCACAGCTCAGTGATGTGGTATTTAGCTGTGAAATGATGCTCCCAGGAAGGTGACTTGGTTCTTGTAGCAAGTACACAGTGAGTTTCAGTCCTGCTGACATGAGATGAGCTATATGAACTTCTGCGTGCCCAGAGGAAAGAGTCTCAAAGACCTATGCAAAATCAGGTACCCTGTTTTCAGGCTTCCAGTGGTTATGTGCCCAACAATTCTTCTATCTAAATTTTAAAATGTTTCTTCTGACAATGCAGCTTAAGTGTATGGGATATTTAAATCTAGGAATGTTGTTCTGTTTGTAACAAGCAGGGATCATTCCAATTTCTAAGATACTTTTCTCCTCAAATCCAGCTGCTTTCCGTCACTTAATAACGTGCAAAATGTTGTGTAGAGTGCCTTCATGCTATTTAAAAGCAAGAGCTACTTTACAGGGTGAAGTCTCTCATTTGGAAATGTTTCCTCTGAACTAGTCTTGATTTACTATTATTCCTCCCCTCTCCTTTCCCTTTGCAGCAGTTCAAGATAACTCTTCCCCTTCCTACCCTGTGGTTGTCAACATGTTCTAGTTGTAACCTTCACTGTAACTCTCTCTCCTTTCACATTATGTGCTTTCCCCTCAATACATGACTCTTGAGCCCTGAATGGAGCATATGGAAACTTGATCCTCCCTCTCGTCCTGGGGCTCTCTTCTCCATTCCCATGCTTTTAACTCATGCCCTCAGTCTCTTGCAAAATGGCCTTAATATCAGTGTATGGATTTTCATTTTTTTCCCCAGGGAGTGTTGTCTTCAAATGTAGGATGTGGACATCAAATTTTGATTACCTAACAGCAGTGTGCCCAACTGTTTTAAGAACAACACTTCCTTATGATTTTCCATTTCTTGCAGGGCTAAGTGTTTGTTTGAAAGATCAAACCAATTCTCTCTCCTCTCTCAGGCTCACAGTACAAGTACCTACTGGCATTGCCTCCTTCCCTAATGAAATCATGCACACGCCCCAGGCTTGGGCCCAGAAGAAATACACCAACATCGTTTCCTTCCATTTCATGACTCGAGGTGGCCACTTTGCAGCATTGGAGGAACCTGAACTTCTTGCTGAAGATATTCTGCAATTTGTTGGGAAAGTAGAGAAAGAGCAACTTTGGAGAAAGAAAGAATAACTCTGCTGACAAACAGCAGGGTAACTGCTTATAGCTTAGCACATGTACAAGCCTTACCAAGTACTGTAATCCATGCAGTTACATCTTATTCTTGACCAGATGTGAGAGGACAGCAAGAACAATGCAGTATATCTCTATGAGATACTGCCATGGAGACCTATTGATTGTGGGTTGGGTCTCTTTGTTCAGCTAAGCTGAGACAGTAGCATGAAGATCACTTGGTTATCTTCTCCCTCAAGCAGACTTCTAAAATCTGTAGTTCCGTAGTATTCCTGACCCTTGCTTTGAAATTGAAAAATAGACCTTAAACATCAGAATTAACTAATCAGAGTTTATTAGAGGCTTTTTTTCATGGCAGCAGTAAAACTTGAGTTGGTGTAGGTGTGAGGTGCCTCACACAAAGACTGGGAACAGCAAGACCTAACTTGTGTGAGTGCAGGGGTTAGTCAGCATCGATGATCTGCAGCACCCTTACACTAGCCAGCTGGCTGCCCTTCCCATCCAGCCTGGGCTGTTGAGCAGCTTCCTGGCTGGGAGGAAGATCTGCTCCCCTCTGCCTGGCTCCTTGTACAGCAGTGTGTGAAATGTACCAGCTCAGACCAGAGGGAGGGACTGGGTCTGAGTAAGTGTAGCCCAAGCTCCCTCTGCACTGAATTTGTACTCTTAACCAAAATCATGGCCCTGGACAGGCTCAAGACACTGTGGCTTTGCACTGCTGCTGCAGAGGGCTGTAAATACCTCTTCCTAAAGAATAAAAGTGTGGTTAATTAAAAAATAAAAGACCTGCATTAACATTTTGAATAATACCTGTATGCTTCTTTTAGATGTTGTAATAGCTGAGACTTTACTTGGTGATAGCTGAGAAGCAGCAGTTCAGACCCTCTGTACTGCATCTGTTACAAAGGTCAGATCGAAGGCAAACTGCTCAAAGAAAATTGTATTTGAAGGGCTGCATGGTTTTGCCAGCAACAGTCCCTAGTGTAAGCAGTTGAGCTTCAAACACTCTCAAACTCTATCCAGATGACTGATTTCAGTATGGTTTTGTTCTCCATTCGCTGCTGACATACTTCCCTACCCCTGCAAGCACAGGGAAATCTAATCCACCACTAACACTTGCACGGATTAGTATCATTTCACAATATTAATTGAAATGGAAGCTGTTAAGTAAGAGTCACTCCACCAGAGCCCTGCTCCATCCCACAGGACTTTATGCTCAAGAATACCACGGGGCTTGCTTCACAGAAGGCAAGTCAATGTTCCTGCTGGCACGTTTGAATCTTGGTGCTAAAAGCCACCTGATGCCCAATGATAGAAAATCACTTGGGCAGATGGGTGGCAACCCAGCCCAGATGTTTCTGAGCAGAGCCTGGGACCTCCAGCCCCCTTTCCTCTCTGCCTCCTGTGCTTCTGCCCCTGGGCACCAGCAAAGGAAGGCACAGCAGCTTCTGCTGCCTCAGTCCTTCAAGCTGTACTTGAGTTCTGTAGGATAGCTAACTACTTCCACGTTAGCAGTTATTCCACGTGAGCACTAATTCCACGTTTACTTCTGAATGCTTTCATTAGTCACAATTTGTGTTCTCATTTGCAAAATACTGTGTGGTACAGACAGGAATAAAATACATAATGATTCACTTCACCTAAAACAGGCTCTTCTCAGAGAAAACCATCCCCACACTTGTTTTAGGTCCAGTATGTTGAAAAACATTGCTTATTCAAGAGGAATCAGCTCACCTCTGACAACAGCAGCTGTTCACTGGCACCAACCACTCTGCTCCTTGTACCAGGCTGATCTCTGGCCCCTTGCTTTTGCCTTACTTCTGTCCCCAGTGTGGCCTTATGTTTGAGAGCTAGAGCTCATCCTCTCTCATCTTCAGTACACAGGCGGACATCTGCTGTGGTGCTGGGGAGCACTGCCATACACCAACAGAAGCCAGCACGGGCACAGGGACTGCTCAGTCACAGCACAGATCGAGTTGGGGGAAGACAGTTTGCTACATTATCTGTGCCAAACAGTTTTTCAGATGTTCGTAGAAGGCTTGAAGCATTTTCCCCTCTCCCTTCTGGAGCAGACCTGCTTGAAGGGGCCCAGTCTCAATGAAAGGAGGAACATCAGGGCTCTGTTTTGTGATGATACATTACAGCAGCTCATCAAGGCTCAGGCACCAGTGAAACTGGACAGAACACAACCACCTTTCTATTTTTAAATACACCTCTCGGCGCTCAGCAATCCAAGACAATGATAATGAACAGAGGCAGTAAAGGAGCACATCCTCACCCTGCTCTGCATGCCAGGTCAGCACCCTTCAGCCTACCAAACATGGAGCTGTCCACATTATCAGTTCTACTGAGGATAAAAGACAGGCACTGAGGCACGAAACCCAACACAAACATGGGTTTGATCAGCTGCTGTCTGAAAGAGAGAAAAAATCTGGACCTAGAAGCTTAAAAATTATGATGAGACACCTGTTCTATAGCAGAGGTTATTCTCATGTCACACTTCTCAAACCTTAAGCCCACAGCTAACAGCAGCTGTTGTTCAGCACCTACTTATCTACACTTAAAGATACAAAGATTGAGTGAAATGCTATGACAATGTGAAAGAGCATAAAGCTGGCCATGGGCCAGCTGTAAAATCTGCTGTCACTTCCCTTCCCCTTGTTCAAAGTAATCACCTGCTTTTAGCAAAAGGCACCCAATCCCACTGCCTGCAGTGCTAGCTTTAGTGCTAATGAAGTGTTTGCAGGCTAACCATGGCATCTGCATCTCCTCCTGCAAGGAACAACTCCCCCATGAGCCCAAGATTTGGACTGGTAGCCATCCTGAGTGAATCCAGACTCACTTCTGATACACTCCAGCACTTGGAGCACGTCCAAACTGTTAGCTCCAGTACTACCATGAGCAGTGTAGAAGTCAGATAATCAGAAATTTTTACCATTTCTGTTAGCAAGTAACTGCATATCAGATTATTGCAGTAGTAATCATCAGGAAGAAGGGACTCTGCTCTATTCTACTTGTTCTTACCAAAGTGAGCCACCTGAGTACCTGCCATTCGGACAGCAAGTCTTCTCTAACAAGGCCAAATGCACTGCTGTTGGGCTGGCTGAGCTGCTCCTTTGGAATAGTAGCTTCAGCCTTCAGGAGAACGCAGTGGTGGTTTGATGCTCAAAACATTTTGTTTTGCCCCAGAGCCATTTCATGGTGAAGTCTCTATTTCCAGACCAAAGCTGCCTGAAAGTCTCTGCTCAAAGAAACTGCTCTTCCCTAAGTTGCTCCAAAACATGCATTTATCCCGCACCAGAATCAGAAGTAGCTGACCTAAATCCTGCTTTGTAATTAGTTACAGCCCATGAGGAGGCTGAATAAGCAGTTCAGAACCATGGAGATGCCACTGGAAATAACCAGAACTTACACTCTGCTCCCATCCTTCCTCCTCCTGTCCTCCCTGGCCTTCCCAACTGAAGTACTTGGGTAAGTATCTGTTTCTGGCATGGAAAAACACCAGTAAGGTCATCATCATCTCATACAGCCCAGCTAAAATGAATTTGACTTCTGATTTTTAAACTACAAACCATAAAGTCTGTGAAATCTAAGCTGTTCTGTGTAGCCCATGGACATCTTGTACAACCAAACGACAAGACTTTATGTACATGAAACAAAATAGTCAGGCATTACTCAGATTATGAATGAAAAAATATGACTAGAAATCACACTTTCATATGAAAAAGGAAGTTAAGCCATCATTCAGTGAAAAATAGAATCTGTTAAGTATAGAGTTAGATCTAGATCTGCAAGGGCACCACTCATCACCACTGAGTCAGCTGGCACTGCTTGGGGGCAGTTCTGTTTTACAGCAGGTGCAATACATAATATGCATTAGATGAAGATACGTTTTTGTCTGAATGAGGCATGGAAGGAGCCTTCTGGATACAGTGGGAAGAGACAAGGAATAAATCCATATTGATTTCAGGGTAGCTTATTTTAACACACTGAGAAATGATGCCACTTGTTTTACTTGCTGTAATAGCACTTTAAGTAACATAACTCACACTAAAACCGTCTTGCTTAGGATTAGTTTTCTTTCATGAAAGAAATACCCTGTGCAGTGCCAGACAGCCCTGATGGTGTTATGGCAATGCTGCTAGAAGAATTAGCCCCATTACAATTGTCAGTTGTCTTCTGGAGAGCAGTATTTATGAACAGATCTGTACTGAGTGACAGCTCTTTCCCCTTGCAAGATGTAGTCCAAACGTCAGTCTTCAAAATACCTTCCTGATTGGATTTGAAGACATTAAGGATGCTCAGGCTCTTGCCTGTGTTTAATAAGTGAATGTCTGCAGTTCTGAGGATAGGAACGATAAATGAGATTTAAGTGATGACTTTCCAGCTTCTTAAATGGAAGATAATCCCCTTTGTAGCAATGGTTCAAACCACTGCAGATGATCAGCGCAAAGGGAGTACAGTGCAGAGAAAAGAACAGAAACACAGAAAGACAAAACTCAACAACCAATACAACAAAAGATACCAACAGAACAAACTGAATTGTATGTGAAGACTGACTCAACGACTGTTTTAACAGCACAAAAGAGGTGCAAGATGGCTCTCCGCATTGCCTGTGCTTCCCATCCCAGCAGCTGCAAGGGGTCCAGCACCCTGTTTGCAAAGCCTTCTGCCCCTTGTTCCATCTGCTCTGGGCCAAAGGAGGGCCAGGCCCTGGAGGTGAAAAGAGAAACTGCACCCTCTGCTCTGAGGTTCCTCCCAGTCCCTGACTTGCCCCCCACTGGTATCTGCATCCAATGGGAAACCAGCTTGTGCCTCTCCTGCTGACAGGGGCTTCCTTCCTTCCTAACAGAGCCCACCAACCGTTGCTTCATTCCTAGTTATCCACTACACAGGAGTGTGTGGGTATGTCCCACCCCAAGGACTTCAGGTAAGTGACAGATGTCACCATTTTCCTCTGCAGAGAGGAACATCTTAACCCAGCCAACATTCTTCCCACTATGTCTGTATAGCATCCCTTGCTCAGTGTGATTTCCTGAGCTCCAACTGAGCCCAAGCAGTCCCACTCACTCACTTTGGGACTAGAGCCATGCTCCTTCGTAGGATCTCATCTCCGCTCAGAGTGCGCCTACTAACCTTTCAGCTTCCCCACATGGAGGGAAGTGTTAAGAGCAGCTTTATTTCCCAGCAGCTCTTAAGCTCTTTTGCAACCAAGCCTGCATTGTTGGGGTGGGTTTGTACGTAAATACACGTGTATCTCTTGAGTTCTAGAAAACCTCGTACAGCCTCAAGGGAACTAAGGATGCTACAATTCTCTCAACTTCACCACTGTGTCTTTTCTCTTTTGAAGATAAATAGCAGAAATAATGGTTTAAATGATTCCTGTTAAAAGTGCACAACTGATTTATTCCTCAATTTTTGCCCTTCCCAACAGATTCTGACTTCTGGTCATAGAAGGGAATGAATTATTCCTATTTTAGGATCAATTTTTAAGTTACAGATGTCAAATGTAAAGGAATAAGAAGAAAACCCTACTCCATTCTATAAAGCTAGAACCCTGTCATAAAAGAATTCAATGCCTGCAACCAAATTATGGTACTTAGCAATTCTTCATATTATTTCCTTCTCCATTTCTCTCTGTGGAGAGAGCTGCTGGTTTTATTTCTCTGTGTCTATAGATGGAGGGGAAAAAATACTGATAATACTACTTAGGGAAAAATTATATAGAATTCAAACTAAGTTTTGACATGGAACATCTTCAACTGAAAGAAGCAACTTGATGCTTTCCACTTCAGGAGAGCAGGCTGTAATAAAGCTAATTGATCTGAAAAGCCACGTATAAAACACCACTAAATGCATGAAAGATTCATGCAGAAGGGAGGCGAGCTGTGTACAAAAATACATCTATCTCACATTCCCTCTGCTCTCAGTCTTCCTGCAATGCAGCTCTTTTTATGTTAATAAACGGCTAAGATGCACAGCAGAGAGATGCCTTTCAAAAACAGTCACTAATTTCCATCACAAACCTTCACCTTTTTGCAGCACTACATGAAAACTGAAGGTTCACAACCACACAGCACTAATGGTAAGAGACAGCAACAAGTTCTGGCTCCTGTTTTATTTAGGAGATAGCACACATTAGAGTGATATCCACATGTGATATGTGGACATATCGCACACTAGAGTTCTAGAACTCTTTTATTTGAAACATCACTTTTGGTAAGTGTCTCCATTAACTATTAACCAGCATTTAACTAACCACTAAATATAGCAGCAGACATGAAAATTCACCCTCTCTTCTTCTTGGCTATTTCCAGTCCCACCCATTCCCACCTGAATATCATGCACAGACCTGGTACAGAGCATTCAAGGACATCAGACCTTCCAACCAGATCTTCCTGTGACACTCTGGAAGATGAAGTGTATAAAGGCCCTAAAATGACACTATCATATCCGTATTATACTGCATGTACCATGTATCTCTCACATCTCAGGGGAATGATAAAATGGAATGAAGCTCTAGACTGCTGAAGACCACAAACATTGTACCAGTAGACATTTCCAAACTAGAACTTTAGTGGAAAGGGAACTCCATCCAGAAATGAAGCTGGAGATTTGTTTAGTTTTAAGTTAGTGAAATTCTTACTTAAAACACAGAATTATTACTTTCCACTATCCATAAACACTGGTCTTGAGGTGGGACTTCCAATCCATTCAAAAGGGAGAAGATCAGATGCATGTTACACTGGAACTCACCTAGGAAGGCAGGAAACAAACGGCTTCAGCAGGGAACAAATCCTCCTCTAGGAAAGCAACAACATTTGCTTTCAACCAGGAGCCTGCAGTCCCCCAGTAATGGGGACTGCAGGCTCCTGGTTGGAAGAGATTAGTAATAGGGGCACACTGAGTATGGAAAAGCACCTTCATATGCTACAGCAGTGAATTCATGGGACCACATTTGTCAATTCATCAAAGGAACAGAAAGGTACTTATGGTACATGCAACAAAGACGGCTGATCTTAATACCCTTTCTCTCCAAGCAACAAATGCTTACAGACTGCTGACAAAGAACAAGTGAAGATAACCCAGGAGCTCTGTGTCTGACCACAAAACAGTTGGGAAGCTGCACTTGCTGCAGCCGAGATGCTATGGCCTAACCAATGGAACATCAGAAACAAAGCAAGAGCCAGGAATTAACCCAAGAACCAAAAAATGAAAGGGAAGAATGTTCTGTTATAGTGACCCAGTCTCAAGTCTCTCCACTTTGTGATTTCCTTTGTTTTGATCTGTCAGACAGCTGTCCTCAGAAAGAAAGAACAACTTCTGTACCTCTGAACTATCTGAAACAGGCACTCACAGCTGTTACAGACAGGTGACATGCAGAACCATTTGAGATGCCTTGTCTAGATTAGAGAGAGAAGGAATTTGCAAGACCACTTTAAGAAGTTAAGCCATGTCCTCTTTGAAAGTTATGACCCTGCCCATCATTTGAAGTTAAAAGTGTGTATTCCCTTGTATTTTTTGCAGTTTAGAGCAATAAAGTGTGTCTTTTCTCTGTACTTGATGGACTTCTGCTTGTGAGACCCCTCCTCCCAAGCTCTCCCTGTGCCTCTCACCTCACTTTTGCTAAGAGCCAGGAAAACAGCTCTGTGGTCCCCTGCTTCTAGCACAATCCCACCTTCCTGAGAAACACACAAGGCTTCAAATGCTAATAAATGGACTATCTGTGGATCATATATGAGGAAGCTTCTAGTTGTGCTTCTAGGATGTGTCAATAAGCAGAGCTGGGAACTGTATTTCTGTAAAGAAACAGAACATGGTCAAATGCTGTGCTGAAGCATTTAAAACCTTAGCCAGCACAGAGATCTACTTTTGGCTCAGGGCATGGGAAAAGCCCAAAGGAAAACAGAGCATGAACGTGTGCACCTAATGCAAACGAGAAACCGCAATCATTTGGGTGTTGAGGATGTAATAGGGTTGGAGGTGAACCAGACTGGGCATGCATATAGAATAAGCTCTAACTAGCACAGAGCTGGATGTATCCAAACAAGCCAAAGGTTATTTTGGGACTCAGCATACAATATAGCACTCTCTTTGCTATAGAAGAAAATCAGCTATAGTGAAGAAAGATCTTTGCAGTGTGTACCAAAATGCACAATATCAAATGAGCTCTGTTCTTCAGCTTTTCAGAGCTGGCCCTTCAGTTGTGTCACAGAGAACCTCACCACAGACCACAGAGTAGGGCTTACTTGTGCTTAATGGCCTTGTCCAGATTCCCATTCCACAGGAGCACTGCTGGTCGAGGCTGCCAGAAAACAAGTAAGGACTGAGCAAGGAGTGAAATGGGGGGGAGTTGTTCCAACTGAGCAATGCAAGGCAAGCAGCAGGCACTGGATCTCAACAAATATGGCTTCTGGGAGCTACAATCAGTAACTCCAGCTGGGCCATTTGCTCAGGCTTCCTGCCAGAAGATTTATAAAAAGAACAGTAAAGAATGTGCAATAGCTTTAAGTATGTCAAATACAGCACAGCCAATATCCACATTTGTTAAGGCTTCCATCCCTCAGCTTCTCTGTAAGGCTCAGCAAGGAATGCAAGGAGTTTCTCCTGCTGATCTAATTTTATCCTCTGAGACATCCACCAGCAAGAAGGAATGAACTAGAGCCAGTGCAGTTCCTAATTACTTCCACATCTCAGAGAAACCCAAAAGATTGTAGGGCAGCAAGCACAACTTAGCAAAGCTAATAAACCAGCCTCTAATCTGTGTGCTGTTATACATGGAGATCTTGTGATAATTCACTAATAGGTGATTCTAGCCTTTACTCTAACTAGTGCATGTCCAAGTACCACAGGCATTTCTATACACTAACTGCAACAAAGAACAGTGGCAAATGAGAATGGGTTGTTCACTTGTACATGACAAGTGAAATATACAGGTGGTTTCTCCATCAGACACATGGTCTGGTTCCTCAAATACCACCAGTGGCTATTTAGCAAGAAGCATGCTCTACACCTGAAGCATGTTAGCACGACTGGAGGTGGGTTTATTCAAGTTCACAGAAGAGCTGGCCTTGTCTGTACCAAACCTGTGCTGGTTACAAGGAGCTTCATTACCAAGGTTCAGCAGCCTTCCAAGCACGAAAAAGGAAATCCAGCGAGCAAAAGAGTTTTTTCCTTGCTATGACAGATAGAACCTCACAGTGAATATCAACAGTCACTTGTTCAAAACAACAAGTTATACCACAGAGCACAAAAATCCTGCAGAGCCAGTGCTGTGAACAGGTCAAGTTTACAGGGAACGGAGTCATTTGATTCCTCAATTAGTATACACATAACGTCCACTGCTTCTGCAGTCACCTGTGTCAGATGGGTACTGAGCTAGAAATGCGTTAGAACAATCACAGGCTTCTGATCTAATTAATGCAACAGGCTCTGTCTCCTCCTTCCATCCTCACATCTGTATGAGAGACCCAGAGACAAGTGAAAAATGTGGAGCTGGTTGTTTTAATTTCTTCTTGGTTTGAGTATCAATCTTAAGCAGCAGTTTGTACCCAGGGTACAAACCACCTCTAGTCATACCATGATCAATAAATCCCCCTCAATGTTCAGTGTACAAACCACCTCTAATGACACCACAGTTGCTGAAATCAAAACACATGCAACCCCCTCACTAAACTGCCACACTGAAGTGATAACATAAAGAAGCCGACATAAATCCATGTCCCCCCACAAATAGACAAGGCCTTTTAAGCAGCACGTGTACCTTCCACTAACAGGATGGGCTTTTCAGCAGGGTTTTGAAGCTCTGCAAGGTCCTTCTTGCAGCAGGGCAGATCTCCTGCTCAGCATTCATCCAAGGTGCTGGTCTCAGGAAGCTGGAGGCAGTCCTGCAAGACACTGAACATCTGCACACACTTATTTATGGCACAGGTTTTACTCCCACCTCAAGATGTTGTTGCTTTACAGGCATGCTAGAAAAGGTCAAGTTCGGGAGCTAAGGGTTTAACAATGAGCAGGCAATGAGAGCGCTTGGGGGATGACGACAAAACCTTCTCCTTCCCAAAGGTCACCAAGATGTATCCCCAGGAGAAACCCGAAAGGATTCAAACCTCTCATGGGACACACTGTCATTCTGAGCCTTATGACAGTGCCCTTATGAAGAGTTCATGACACAGCACACTGTGAGGCAGGCAGCAGCAGAACTGTTTCAATACACAAAGAAAACACAAATTTCAGCCTGAAATTCCTCTGAACTCAGTGTTTTATTGCTTCAGGATTATTAGTTGCACTTTGACACTATGTACTTCGGAGTAAACCAGCACCTACTGCATAATTTAAAATCTTAGTATCTTGCAGCTCATATAGTTGGCACTATAGAAAAATCCCAGAGTTCTGTCATTTCGACCCAAGATTAAAAGAAAGGTAAAATTATTACATCCTTTATTGTTGGCAGGTGAACTTTCACTGTGAAAGGCCCTTAAAAAGAGTGAACAGAAACTAACAATGTAAAGACCCTCCAAAAATATATAAAACTAGTATCACATAAAGCATTCCCATCTCCACACCAGTCTCTTTGCTTTGGTACCTGTAGTACCCGAGTGCACAGTAACCCACCCAGTGCACACTGAGTAACTCCCTCATCTCTTTTAAGGAAAAAGAGTAACATGGTCAAGTCTACACTGACTACTTTGGGTGATGAGAGACTCCCACACACCATCCTCATACCCATGCAAACATCATTTTCATCAACAGTGACACTGCCTGAGGACTTAATGCATCCCAGGAGGTTTATAAATACTTTTTTCTTTTAAAGCAATAATTATTTTGAATAAATAAATTACAGCTGCATTTGCTTTGGTGACCAATTATTTATACGCAGCATAAGTTATCTTCATAAGGCAAGTGATGAGATAGCGTAAGTGAAGTCCCTGAGGATGAGCATCCCCGTGTTCAACAGGTTTGTTTCCCAATGTGCACAGACAGCCTGGAAAACAATCAGCCCCGAGGCATCTGCTTTTTAATCTCCAAGCACAGCTGCAGACCGCACAAGGAATTATTTCTGAACCTCTTCAGCAGGCAGGAGTATGCCAATAAAACAGAATACTTAGCAGACGGTGAGAATCGGTTCTCCTAAACCTGGACCAACTGCTCCACCTTGTGTTAGTCCTTGGCATTCAAACCGAACTTCTCGTTGCCTGCTCTGTAACTACAGGTCCAGCGGAATAGCTCATGATTCCTTCTGCCTGTGAGGAAGTGTTGTCCATGGTGCCATACGACTGCTGCTCCTTATGGGCGAGCACCGTTCTTTCCGTAGGATGAGGATGCAAGACTTGGGGCACGTACATCTGAAATGACAAGCAATAAGGATTTTACTAGTCGCTCAAATGTTGTTGGGATAATTCTCCCCAGATTAATGTTGGGATATTCACCCTGGATAATTTTTCCCCTTGCAACTCTTCATCCATTTTCCATTCTTTCCCTTTACACATAAGGCCTTTTTCACCCTAACAGAGGCTTCCTGATGCAACTCTCACCTGTACTTGCAGACTGTTGCACAAAGGCCTCTTGAGCCTTGCATCCTTTTTAGTGACTTGGCAGATAAGACATGATGCACGTCACAACTTCCAAAGTCACAAAGCTGTGGCAACTGACTGCTTTTGGCAGATGTGCAGATGTAAGGATCTGCCTCATGTAAGGCCCAGAACATAGCATACAGAGCTGCTTAAAGTATTGTCTCAGCTACTCCAAACACATACCCAAGGGTACTTCTGGAACACCACCTGGGAGCAGTCAAGGAGCTCAGCTGCAGAACTCTCTGGTCCCACAAGGAAAGTCCCACAGTCCATTCAGATTAATACATCCTACACAAGCTCTCTGGTTAGCAGGGTGAGAAATACAGTTTTTCTAGGAAGTGTAAGAGAGTATTAGTAACTCTTAACTTCTTACAGAAGATGTGGTGATGGTTGGTACATCTGTGTCGTTTCCTCTTTCACCTTGTGTGTCTTCTACCTGTAACCAGTAATAGGTGGGGAAAGGAAGGGAGGCAGTATCAAGTTAGTAAGTCAAAGCAATATACGGAGATGGTAAGAGCCCCAAAACCTGCACAGACAGAACTCTCTTCTCATCCTCTTGCATACTTCTTCCATACTGTTCTTCCCCCCCCCAAATTCAGTTCCTGCTAACACTGTGCCTAGCAGCCTACCTCTACTATCAGCCCTCTTTGCCGTCTTACTGGAATGAACCTTTATGAATACATCGCTGGTGAGAAGGCAGAAAGCATCCAGCAGGAATAGCTGGTGCTACACCAAGCACATAGGCAGATGCTGAAAGATGTTGGGTATCCATCACTTACCTTGTAATTCAGTGGGCTCAGGTACTTGAAACAGCCAAAACAAGTATAAGCCAAGCAAATGGCGATTGTGATGTTGACAACTAGGAAGGTAAACATGGTTGTAGGTGCTTTAAAGCCTAGAAAAATATCCAGAAAATACAATATAAAAACACATGGCAAAAAAAACAAACTAAACCCAACAAACAGAACTTCAGCCTCCCCATTTTTAGAGGCGAGGAAAGGTGGCTGCAATACTTGAACTAGAAACAAGACTCAGAGCAGCTCTTCTCCTTCCTCAGTCTATTGACCTGTGAAATGTCACACAGAGTCCGTTTATTAATTATTACGATGGCACCAAACTGGATGGCTTGCAAGTAACCCAAAGGATAGGAAATATTTACCTTGGGGGGTGGAAGAGGAAAAGATGAAATTGTATTTAGAAAATGTAAATAAGGGGAGATTTAGATCAGACATTAGGAAGAAATTCTTCCCTGTGAGGGTGGTGAGGCACTGGCACAGGGTGCCCAGAGAAGCTGTGGCTGCCCCATCCCTGGCAGTGTTCAAGGCCAGGCTGGATGGAGCTTGGAGCAACCTGATCTAGTGGAAGGTGTCCCTGCCTGTGGCAGGGGTTGGAACTGGATGAGCTTTAAGGTCCCTCCCAACCCAAACTGTTCTGTGATTCTATGAAATAACTACAATTCGTAATGAAATACGAAATGTAGACATGAGGGATAACAAGCCTGTAGAATTGCAGAATACAGGTGATGATTACAGGCTGGAAAGCAGTCAATAGTGTGATGCTATCATAAAATATGGGCAGGAAATGGGGGAAAAGGAGGGGAAACAAGTCTTTAGTACCTATACAAAATAATTTAGCGCTACTAAGCCTTCAACTTCAGCAGCTTTGTCTGTGTAGGACACTGTGATAAAATAGGGATGTACTGGGAAAAATCCAAGGAAAAGGAGCATGAGAAGAAATTGAGTAAACATGAACTAAGCTGAAAGGTAGGGTTTTCTTTCAGGGTGAGGACTGCATGTGTGTGGTTGATAAAACATTAATGAATGAGAACAGTATTATCACTGTACTCTGCAACCAGACTGAAATGTCCACACCAGGCAAATCATACAAAATCAGTGACTAAGCAATCAAGCCTTACACACCACAACTGATTTATTTTGCAGATTAGGAAGCAGAGCACTCTTTCCCTTCCTTCTTTTGCTTTGGCACAAGAAGCAGCAGTGAAATCAATGGCTATGAAATCAAAATCTCAGGTTCCTACCCCTCAGACTCATACTATTTGGCTAGACTGCCCTATGCAGTGACAAATCATTGAGCAACATCCTGAAAACAGGATCCTCTATACTGACCAGTAATCCAGACTGTATTTTCCATTACTAAGGTCCATCACAGATGATGGTTTTACCACAGATGCAAAACAAAAAAGCCCAGTATAATATAGATTTATTTTTCACTATATCAGGATTTCCTTTGTAACAATTAAAGAGGCACATCAACTGCTGTGTGTTTGAGATGATTTTTCTAAAGCATGCTCTAGCAATTTTGCTGTTATTTTATTTATTTGTTGGTCTTCCTGGTTACAAAGACATCTCTCAAAGCAAGGGGAAAAAACAAGCTCTCAAATATACAAGTAATACGGGGACATCTGCTTAAACCCAAGGACAGCCTGAAGCAACAGTTTTGAGGGCCTCTTACCTCCACAGGGAGCTATCTCTAACGTTAGAGAAGAGTCTGCCAACATTACTATTTCACTACTGGTATGCTAGCAAAACACAATGCACAGTCAATCATTTGTCATCACTGCTGAGAAAGCAAAGAGGAAAATCCAGCTGGACAGCAAGGGCCTCCTTCCCAAGAAGGGAAACCCAACTCCTCCCAGCATCACTGGCATCCCTGTTCCTTGCTAAATGCTTCCTTCCTGTTTCATGGATAAAAAGCCAAAAGCTATCACCTACCTTTTCTGATGTCAAAGCTACTAGTGCACCACAGCCAATATTATCAATGCCACGTGTTTGCAAGATACAGAACATCCCTATTTTTACAATAAATTACACACAAAACATGGTTTTTATGTTACAATATGGGGAGGAGAGTCACCATCTCACTGCAGTCTGCTATGTGAAGCTTAATGGCTGATGGAGAGCATAGATCTACCCAAAATTTTAGTGTTTTAAGGTTTTTTCTAATGCCAGCTGTACCACAGAGGCAGTAGCCAACTCACCCAGGCAAATTAAACTTATGCACAGACCACATCAATGCAGGTAGTGAAAATAGAGCCCATCTTACTAGAAACAGCTAATTCTGAATTGATTTGGGGTTGGGTTTTTTTACTGTCACTTTATAGCCCAAATGGCCAAATCAAACTCTCCAGATTTAGGGAACACATGATCTCTGGTAAAATGAAGAAATATAAAGCTCCATGCTAACAGTCTGGAGTGGACATTATCAGCTGCCTCTATCAGAGTATCTTATACAAGCTTTTGTAAGCCGCAAATGTTGGATAATTCTGTGCCACGGGTAACCACTATGACTTCCCATTTAGGGAAAGAAGAAGAAAAGCCCACAAAGCCTCTGAAACTTCACACATCATTCAGGTAAGTTGGCAAGCTGGGAGCAGCTTTTGCATGGGAACAGGTAATACTTACCTAGCCGCAAAAAGGAGAAAAAATAGAGCCAGAAAAGGCAGAGAATCGGAGCCGCAAGGGCCTGATTCACAGCTGCAAAGTGCATCTTCTTCTCCAGCTTGGCAGGCAGATATGCATAGTAAAGGTTGTAACGGTCAACCATGTGCTTCAGGAGTATGTATATTAAACCTGGAAGGAAAAAAAGGAGAGCCAAGGAGAGGCTGTGAAAGAAGACTTGATAAAAAGCAGCAGAAGACTTGGTAAAAGAAGACTTGCTAAGAACCTCACTACTGGAGGAGTGAGGTCTAGATGTCAGTCACTAATCAAGTGACTGAAATCTAGATACCAATGGCAGACACAGCTGAGTGGGGTACAGCTGCATGATGGCATCCTGCTCCTGAGGTTGTTGCATCCCCAGCCCAAGACCCCCAGGGTCTCCCCATCTCTCCTCCTCTCCACATACTTCTCTGTGGCTCTACTTGTCCTCCCAGAGAGGACCCAGAGCTTCTTCCTAAGCCTGGCACATGAGGCCAAACCAGTAGGGAAGACTTGGTAACTCCTCCACCACCGCACTGGTAAGCAAGAGAGGTCTAACAGTGGCTTCACGTCTCCCCTTAGCTTTCAACAGATTCATGACTGGATTTCAAGTCAGCTATTTCTTATCCTAAAAGAAAGCCAGTTTCTGCTGTGACACCTACGAATTGCAATAGCTCTGGTGTGCAGCAACACATTCGGATATTTACAACTGCACTTTGGGATTAGAAAGGGAAAATACCAACTCTATAAAATGGTTGCAGTACTACTTATGCCTGATAAATGGGTTTTCAGAGTGGAAATATCTGTAGCTGCTGAAATGATTCCTTATACATAATTCTTATGACAGTCCAGAATCTCTGTGAATAAAAGATGCAATAAGATGTAGATCATGTCACAGTCACTAAAGATGGACAACTGTCCATGAGTTGTAGACAGATTGCTAAATTTCCTGCACACCCACACAGCATTTAGTGGCTATACAGGAAGAAGAAAGTAGCCAAGTCAATGGACAACTTAGGGCAGAAATGTTACGTTTTGTTCATGGGACAGAGATAAACCAAGCGAAATAGAAAAAGGAGGTCTGTGCCTCAGATCTGGAGACCTTCTCAGGGCCCTGTAGGACTGCAAGCTGCATCTACACCACAGAGCAGCTGTATTCCATCCACATGCCCTTATCTCCTAGTGACCTGATTCGTTTTACACACATCATTCCAACTTCAGGACAAAACTCATTTCAAACATGCCAAAAGGATCTGGGGATCAGAATGTCTCAAGTCAAGTTTGGCTCCTTAAGGTGGACTTCTGGGCTGGGTATTCTCTTGCAGCTTGCTTCTCCCAGCCCTCAAGAACCCAGAGATAAAGACAATTCTCTCATTCCCAAACTGACTTAAATTCTTATGTCTAACTATTAAAAAGCACCACCAGAGCCAATAAGCTCAAACCTGAGAAATAAAATAATCTAACAGACTTTCAACTTCTAAAGCAGTACAAGAGCTACATCAGTCACCAGCTTCTGCCCTGTTTTTTCCCCCAAGAAAGAAAGTTGGAATATTAGCATTTTTGCTAATAATAATTGTGGAATAAGCACACAGTACTGGGCCTTCCAGACCTCCCGCATGCTCCCATCTTGCTCTCACAGCGCCCACAGCTCACTGGAAAACTTACCAAACGGGACAATGATGGGACACGTAATGCTATAGGCCATGATGACAGTGAACACACACAACATCCAGGCATACATTGCTCCAAATTCGTATTCAAACGCTTGTTGCTAGGAACAAAAACAAAACACTCAAAACTCTCATGTCATCTATCAATGTGTCAGGAGTTCAGAACAGATTCACTAACACAACAATTCACCTTCTCTTAATCTCTCCCCATGAGAGATCAGTGATTTCCCCCAGAGGAATAAATGATGTAATTACAGCAATGAAGTATTCTGCATTTTAAGCATCCTACTTACAAAAAATACACTGCTTCTTTCATAGCCTTAAAGTAATTCCTCAGGGAATCTGTTCTCATCTACCAGAAGCAACTGCTTCAAAGCACAAGGCAGAAAATAATCATGCCAAACTCAGAACCTCCATCTTGCTGCAGATTCTACTGAATCTGTACTGTTCCTTGTGTTGGCTTTCCCAGGAAAGTCAAAGGTATCAAAGCTTTGATGCAGTCAGTATTCCCACTTCTTCCTCTTGTGATGAGGAGAGCAATGTAAGTAATTTCAACCACAGCAAGGGGTAATACACAACAGTTAACAGAAGTGAATACCTAAAAGCATCTTTTAAAAATGGAACCCACCCACCCATAAAAAGAAGAACACGGGCAGCTGTAGACAGGCTTAAATTCCCATTTTAACACCTCTGATTTCAATTTGCAAGACAACACACCATCTGCAAGTGGAACTGCACCACTTAAAATGGAACACAGAAAGTAAGTGTGCATTTCGATAGGTGTATGTTCAGATTAGTGCAAGTTACACATGTCTGCAGCTTGACAGAAGGAACTAACTACAGACAGGTTGGAATTTCAATCCCCCCTGAAGTTGAGACTCTAAAATAATTATCATAATTCTCCTATAAAATCCAAATCATAAAACTCCGACTTGGAGCTATGAAGAGAATAATACCTGAAGTTCAGAGCTTGGCATTTGATTATTGCCCATCTCTGACTTGAATAAATACCCCCTCATTATCTGTGCTGCAAATGAAGGGAATATGAACTTGTCATGGCTGAGTGAACAAAGACCAAAAAACCAACCCCAAAACGACAGGAGATGGCAGTTAATGGTGTGAAGGATGGAGGCTCCCACTACTTCTGATAAGGATCAGTCATTTAACTGCCTCTTGCTAAGGAGGTGCTCTAATACCTGTTTAATGTTTTTCCTTTCTGCTGTGGACTTGGCCATTATCATGCGTATGGTGTAAAGGATGAGGCCAGGCAGGCGAAGTAGCTCCATCCCATTGCCAACAAAAGCAGAGGCTATCACATAGTTCACAAAGAAGGCTCCCTGGTCAGGCAGAAAGACACATCTGCAAGGAAAGACACCAGACACTGACTGGAAAGCAGACAAGTAAATATAACATATAGGCAATGGAGCCCTATTGCCTTTGGAAATCTCTTATGATTAGAAGTGGCTAGAAGACTCCTGATAATTTAGTTGAAAAAGGGTACTACATGGCTATGAGTGCACTAAGTGGAGTACACTGTACAAGCCCGGCTGAGCTGCAGTTTGGATGAGGAATAAACTCTTTATGAAAAGATACAGCAGTCTGATGGGTGGCCTGATAGCAGACAAGAGCATCATTTGATGTCTGCAACCTGAGACACAGTAAGACTGCAACAGAATAATTGTCTCCTAGCTGAGTAACTCCTAATTGTATTCTTGCTACTGATTTTGAAACATTTGGAAACCTATGTCCCAATAATAGCATTCTATTCTTTCCCTCCAGCCACAGTCACAAGAGCTTGTAATAACCAATAACTGCAACTTCACAAGGCTGATGTGAAAACATTCATGTTACTTAAAAACAAAGAGTCAATGGATTTCAGAATGAGAACTGCTGCAGCAATTTGGTCTCACTGGAATCCTTGGAAAGATCCCCTTGCCCATGATATGCTTCAATCTCAGCACATTTTCTGGTCCCCACTCACCTACCCCATATCATCCTGTCCTTTCTTCTATAAAATTTGTGAGGTTTGGGGAAAATAACTGTCTCTTTATTGAATGACTGCATGCATTAGCTAGCAGGAAAAAAAAGTATGGATTTCTTCAGAGCAAAATCACTTGCATTCTCCCCGCCCCATTCAGAAGCTCACCACCAACCCACAGGGCACCAACCCCAAGCAAATTTTAATATACACTAATCAAGGTTAGTCAACAGGAAAGAAAAAAGTCCTAAGTACTCCTTTAGCAAAGAGTTGTTAATACTTACTCCAGCCTAACTGCAGAATCAGATGATTCTCTGTCAAACAGCCAACGGAAAAAGAAATCCAGGCTGAAAGAAAGATGCTTAATGTAATTCAGTCTCCAACAGCTCAGTACTGTGTAAAACTGCTTCTCTTTTTAAGTAGCTCAGATCAGGAGAGTGGATAGAGAATTTAATCAAATAATTTGACCACTACTTTAGCTTTATCGCAATAACTAGTAGTCATAAATAGGAAAAAAAGATACAGAATCAAACAGAAATGTCTACTTCACACTGAAGTTTTAATGATTCATTTTTAGTAACTATTATACAGAGGGATCAAACACATGTTACCCGGTCAGCCAAGGAAACAGTCAAATACTATAAAGGTAGAAAGAAAAGGACAGCTACAACTGAAGTATAAGACACAGGCAGGAAACTGGGTTCTCACTATGATAGGGAGTTTGGGTGACTTTCAATTAGTCACTGATATTACAAGGTCTTAAATTTCTCTGTTAAAAGAAAAAGTCAGCCTTTGTAAACGATAAGGGCTAGGAGGTCCTCACATGAAAGGTGAACACTGAAATCTAATGTGTAATGACAACATAACCATACAAACTGGAGGGAGTGGGGGTACATCAACTATACCTTAACTAGCAACTAGAAACCAGAAGTAAGTTATTGCATGCAACAAAAATACTCAAACACTGCAACACTGAACTATGATTCTTTACCTGGTCAGACCAAGGGAGGGCAGAATCAGTACCATGAAGATCAAAAATATGTAGACTTTATGCATCATTATTCTGTTCTCTGCAGATCTACCAACATAAAAAAAGTTATTGAGTAAGAAACTCATATGAAAGACTTCCACACATGAAGGATCTTGCCTGGGGAATGTCAGTACTCATCAGACTTCCAGCTTCCCCAACCATATCACATTGCTACAAGATACTCCCAAAACAAATATCGAAAGATATTAATATTTGATAATATCTTTCAGATATTCACTAATTTGGACCGAAAAGGTTCTCAGTATCTTCTTAGGCAAAGGAGATATTTCTGAACATTAATGCAGACCCTGGATTAGCACCATTACAGGTCTGCACCACAAGCAGGAGGATTTGTGACAATCTTGCCTGGTCTCTCATCCAATGACACTCACATCTCACAAGAGCTTGTAAACAGTTCTTCAAGTGTTATGCCAAGAGGGATCAGGCCGTTTGAAAAGGGTACCGGTGCCAAGAAACTTGACACTGAGACAAGCTACTTGACTGTCCTTACCAAGGGTCAAGTCTTCGGGAACAACATGACACTACTAATGCTAGATCCCTCCCCTACAGTAGCAGGAACATCTATCTAGTGAATGCTGGAGCCAGAAAAGTGCAGTGACTGCTACAAACAACTCTTGACTGTTAAAGGTGGTATCTCACAGGGCATTAAAACCACAGGGTCTTATTATGGACTCGATGATCCTTGTGGGTCCCTTCCAACTTGAGGTATTTACTCTATGATTACAGGATCACGAAGCCCTTGGGCACTGTGGGACAGATCAGTGTAACTATACTGAGGCTTGAAATCAGATCTGTGATAACTAGACTTCAGAAAACTATTTCAGCTGATTGAGAAGGGCTCAAAGTTCATGTGCTTACTGCAAGCACCAAAAAAATAAAAAGGTGATGAAAAGCATACAACATTGATGAATAAACAGTACATTCTGGATATGATGGCTTACAAGGGAATGATGCAAGTAATTCAGAAGTAAAAAAAACAAAATTGTTCTTAGAATATAAAAAAAAAAACAAAAACAAAAACTGGCTGCAGGGATTGTGGAAGAAGATTGAGTGAAGCTGGGTTTCAGTGTGCAGCATCAGGCTTTTATGTAACTGCAGGTAAACTGGGGATGAAATCTGGAGCGCCAAACCAAGCTAGGCTGAGTTCAGATAATCTGTCAACGCAGCATGTCAATGTGCTGGACATCTCTGCAGTCATACCTGAAAATCTGCTGGCCCTTGGTCCCATAGATCTCTTATCACCACTACCAATATCCAACAGCATCCAAGTTGTGTATCAAGAGTTAAGCTCAGACCATCTTTTTCCACACAAAAATAACAAACAGATGGATGCCCTTTCTGTAAGTAGCATGAGCAGTTGGAGCACTTCCTGTTGAGATGGGACTCTGGGGTTCTGCGATGTTCTCAGCCTGGAGGGGATCCAAACCCACATCTCTTTCACAGAGAGAGAGCTAGTTACGGAATCAGAGGCACTTCCCATGTTCCTGTTGAAGCTACACTCCCTGAGCCTGCTTATGCACTTTGTATTGATTAAACACAAAGAGGGGGTGAGCATGAGGTCAGGTAACACTTGCTGTGCCGACAACAAATTAAACTCCAGGGTGCTGGATATAACATTAGCAACAGACAAGAACATGACATTCCTTGCTACAAGAGGGTCTGTGGATTTAAAGCCCCATGAAAATAAGCACTTTCTCAATTTATCTTAGTAATTCAGCTGATAAGGCCAAAACAGAGGAAGATCTTCCTTACTTTGTCCAGTGGCACTCCAGCAAAGTTGAGTAATAGACAACTGTTGGTAGCAAAGCTGAGAAGGACCAGAGCAAGAGCGTTGGGAAAAACTGACTGACAATAGGATTCTAGAGGGGGGCAAAAAAAGGTAAAAGTATTACAAACATTTTAATGCAGTTGTGGTTGAACAGAGGCTGCAATATTTTGCTTTTTGTAAATTCTAAGAGGTTGGACTGTGGAAATTATATTCAGATACAGTCTTAAAATGAGTGGGTGCTCAGCACCAGTGTGCAAGGCAAAAAAGAGTGGGATTGGGAATTAAATTCCGTGAGAGTGAAGTGTCACAAGCAGCTTGTATGTAGAAATAAAATCATGGTATTATATTTCAGAGTTTAAAATCTGACTTCCCCTCTTCTCTTATAAAAAAATCAAACTACAAGTTGGACTTGAAATTCCGTTTTTGGCAAAGGTTTTTGATTACAGAATTTAGAATTATTTAAATCTAGAATGCAGCTTTTTCCAACAAACAAGATATAATAATATAAAGTCTCAAATTACTTCAGCCTACTATCGAAGCACAAAAGACCTGATTCTGATGCTGCTTTTTAATCAGCAGTTATATAAAGCAATACTGATAATTTCAACTGAATTAAGTTTATAGACATTATTTCATTGTCTTACTATTCACCTGATAGTTTATCAGCATTTTGGTCTGATACAAAGCTCTATCCAAACATATGGTGATACTCACATTGAGGTAGTGAATAGGTTTAGTGACATTGAACTTGTCCATAGTTGAGATGATGATGGAAGGGGTAGTAAGAAAAAATAGCACAATAAAAAGCAGCAAATTAATGCAAGCCCATCTGAACCACCATTTCAGTCCACGCACCGAAAGATTCTTCCTGAAAAGACATAAACCCAAGCAGAACAAGCAGAAAGCATTTGCTGTTAAAAACATATATACACACACACACGCTGTCAAGTAACAGGTGGAACTGCTTTTTCTAACTTGAGCTTTCATAGCCTCAAAGTTATATAATAAAGCACACAAGTTTCAGTTGCTATTAGAAATAAAGAAAACTGCAAACTTTCTCCACTGTTTGATAATATGGAAGTACTAAACAAGTTAGGACAAGAAAAGACAGAGATAGAAGACGATCCAGAGAATTTCTGCAAGGAGAACAGCTATCAGAGGCAGAACCTACCAAGAAATTGTGACTAGAGAAAAATGAAAACCCCTTTATCCCTTCCTGCTATACTAAAACGGCATTAAACACTATAAAGAGCATTAAACCACCTTATTAAACAGGTAAACTTCTTAAATACCATCTGCAATTGTTCCCAAAGGACTGGAATAATTTGAACCCCAAAGCCAACTGTTTAGAACAGATCAAAGAGGGCCAGAGGCTTAGTAACATCTCCAATTATGGCAACTTTTTGTGAACCTAAGTAACTAACTTGGCAAATCCCTGTGCCTCCTCTTCTTCAAAACACTGGAACGCTAAGGTATAGACATTGATAAGTTGGTACTTTTTAGCTTTAGTTAACAGAAACAGCAGGTACCAGAACTCTGGGGTGGCAAAACTCCAAGAAGCCTCCCCAAGGTCAGCGACGCCCATCAGTAATGGAAATAAAGATGCAGATTAGGCACATCCAAATACTAGATAATGTTCCAGTTTAGGGTTAAAGAAAAATGCACTCAGCCCCCTTCTCCAGTCCCCATTCTAAACCTACATTATCATAAATAAACGGAGGCAAGGTGGGAATCTTACCAACAGATATTCTCAGGGTAAGGAGCGTATGTAACCTCCCAGCTTGATATGCACAGCTCCTTGCTATAAGGTGATGGCTGAGGCTCTCCTTTACACTTAATACTCTGACATTTGCAGGCATTGAAGTCCTTAAGGATACTGTAAGAGACAAAAAGAAGAGGAGGCTTTTTCCAAATAATTAAAGCCAAAAATGATGCATATGTATTGAGAAGACTGGGAAGAGTAATAACGTGCTTCTGCTTTTAATAACAGATCAAGGTAGCACTGAGGTAACAATATATGCGTAACAATGTCACAACCTGGCAAAGTTTGAAACTACAAGCAGTTCTGAACTATTCAGTGCTTCTACCAACACTAACAACAGGAGTAACTCAGTAAAATAAATACCTAAAAAAATAAATGAAAATCTGAGGGCACTGGAAGAAATCAAGATAAAGACTGCCAGTTCTCCAAACTCTTCTTTATGGAATTACAGCTGGTGTTTTCAAATCAAGGCAGACCACAGGATCAGTCTGCACTCTCTTTTCATTACACCAGTATCAAAACCAGCCAATTTGGCCTGGAGTTCTCAGTAAAAGAAACCTGTACCATGCTGGTATTCTCACAATTCAAAATGTTACCTTCATTTACCCACTCCTAAAATAATCACAGTACTCAATTTTATCTTCTGATGAGTTGATTGACAATCAATGTATTTAAACAAAATTTAAACATGCCCTGAATTAATGCTTCCAAAGACTTCTAAAAACACAGCAACAGTAGTTATAGGCATATATTCAGAGACAGTACAGCTCTGTGTTACTGTGCAAAAGAAGTTCCATATAGATAAGCTCTATTACACCAGCACAGAAACAGTATATATTATGCTTGAACAGGCAGACTCTGGAATTCCTGAACATGCTTGTTCCTCAGTTGTGTTCTTAACATAAAGAAAAACACACACACACAAACACCAAACAAACAAATATAACCCCCCAGATCTTTACCTTACCAGAACTCTAGTAGTGGAGTCAAACTGCCAGCATCTTGCAGCAGCAAGAATTTAAGAAAGTTAATGATACTTTTTGACAGTTTAGTTAAAAACATATATACACAGCAAGCTTTAGCACTACCAGCCATGCTACCAAGCACCATCATTAACCCAGCTTCTACTGGGTTGATTAATGATAAGTTACATTAACCTGACTCCATGAACCTCAGTCCTGGCTTCCCGTTTCCCCCATCTTATTTCAGGGTTCTGTGGAGCAAAGCCTAGTAAGGGCACCAAATAACTTCCTCATTTGCTGCTAGCCTCAGCTTCACATGTCATCAAATCTAATTTTCCAGAGACTGGAGTCCACTGCATCAGTTCCAAGCTAAACTAATTAAAACCTTTTCAGTTCTTGCTAATTGAACTGCAAAGACGCCTGCAATACAGCCCAAGGAGACTATCCCAACAAAATTGTATATGATAAATCAGTAGCTAGAGAATTAACTTCAGTGCTTATTTCTTCTTTCAGTTTCACATCTTAAAATGTCATTTCATGCTTTATATTCTCTAAAAGTGGTGTGTAACATCACAAAATCAGGAGGGAAGCAAATTTTACCACACAATTATACTTGGGTAAAGAGCAGCAAGCAAAATCTTCTGCAGCATCTCAAATTTTTGCAAGGAATTCTATACCCTAGACTTCATGGAAAAGAAGCCTGAAAGACTGGCTCTCTAACATGACTTGAGGGTCAAAAGAATGCAGACCATTTAAATGAGAGGCTGTGTTATTTTTGTAAGACAAATACAATTCTGCTTCCCTTTGCCCACTTTGTGTCAGTAAAAGATGCTCACAAAGAGCCAACAGAAAACAAGAGGCTACATGCATTTTCTCTACAAATGACCAAGTAAAAAGCACTGAACAACTTCTGATAGTAGGCCTACATATATATCTGTAATAACAGGTAAGAGAGATACATAATGAGTATCTATCACCTATGACCAGGTCAGTCCCTGACTCTGCTTGGTTGAGATGACTAACTAGCAGTGTAATTTGTACCCACTGTGATCATTAAGTAATTGGACCATCTGCACAGTAGAAATGGAGAAATCAGTAACTTGTATTCAAGAGCCAATTAGTCTGGCCTACTATTAACCTACACTGAGGGACTGTATACAGAGAAGAGAAAGGCTCCTTACCCCAGTAAGTGTCCAGACCCATTTAGTCCCTTAGATACATTTCCCACTCAACGCACAGATGCTAAAAGCACACTTACAGGAAAACTTACCAAAAAATAAAGCAGCCCAAATCCACAGGATGGTGAAGAAGAAGAAAGGAAGAAGAACCAACATAAGCACACAAGCGACACAAACAGGAGATCAGTTCTACTATTACAGCTCAAAGGGAACAAACAAGACAGCAGACAAAACTTACTAGGTTGCCATGGATTTCTCCTGAAATGTTACAAAAGCCATTCCCAGAGGGTTATTGTGAACAGCTTGTTCCTCTTTTGAATATTCTTCCATCAGTTCGTTTGTAACTTTGGTATAATAATCTACAGCATCCTCCTGTTGGGAAATTGATGACTGTTACATCCGAATACCAGATGGCTAATATCTTCATTAAAATACAGCTTACACAAACCATAGTCTGTCATCCTCTTATTATTTCATAGTCTCTCGTCCTGAAATTACTTATACAAGTACAGGCTGGGCAAAGAGTAGATTAAGAGCAACGCTGAGGAGGAGGTGTAGGCTGACAAGAAGCTCAACATGACCCAGCAATGTGTGCCTAAAGCTCAGAAAGTCAACCGCGTCCTTGGCTGCATCAAAAGGAGCATGAGCAGCAGGTCAAGGGAGATGATTCTGCCCCTCTACTGTGCTCTTGTGAGACCCCCCTCCTTGCAGTCCTGCATCCAGCTCTGAGGACCCCAACACAAGAGGGATGTGGAGCTGCTGGCATGAGAACAGAGGAGGGACACAAACATGCAACAAATGCTGGAGCAGCTCTGCTATGGAGACAGGCTGAGAAAGCTGGGCTTCTGCAGCTTGGAGAAGAGAAAGCTCCTTAAGAGGAGACCTTAGAGTGTCTTCCAGTGCCTAAAGGAGGCCTACAGGAAATGTGGAGAAGGACAGCGCAAGGGGGAATGGCTTTTACCTGCCAGAGGGGAGACTGAGATGAAATCTTAGGCAGAAGTTCTTTACTATGAGGGTGCTGAGGCACTGGCACAGGGTGCCCCAAGAAGCTGTTGTTGCCCCATCCCTGGCAGTGTTCAAGGCCAGGTTGCATGGGGCTGGAGTAACCTGGTCTAGTGGAAGGTGTCCCCCATAGCAAGGGGTAGGAACTGGATGAACTTTAAAGTTTCTTCCAACCCAAACCATTCTGTGATTCTTCCACAAATTACAAATCACGTCACAATGAGAAGACAAACAGGAAGTTTTTCTTGTACTTCAATTTTTACACTAAGATTACATTTCAAAACTGGGGGGGGATTCCTTTTCTGTACAATGCAAGAACTTGAAGGACAAGCCATCTGCAACAACTGAATAAAGAATTTTCTGAAGCTCAATAAGACATCACACAAAACCTGCTCTCTACTCTTCTAACAATCTACCCAGCCACAACTAAAAACGAACATGATCTTACCCTTTCACATCCTCTAATTTCACAGCAGCAGAACTGACCACATGGCTTAGGGTTGATCTGGACCCGTTTGCCATACTTCTGATGCAGATGTTCATAGTAAGTCAGGCTTTTTTCTGCCTGTTTTCTGGACAGAAAAAACATTCATAACATTTTGCAGGAAAACAGTATCAACATCAACCTTAAGAAGATTATAATCCCCAAGAGAGAAAGTAATGTCAAGGACTGATAGCAAATTAATTAATCACCAAAGATATTCACATACACCTTAATTTGACTACTTAGAATAATCTATTTTCAAGTCTAATAGCATTATACAGCCAACATTTGTGGTGAGGCTCCAGAAAAAAAAATCCTGACCAATGCTATTCTTGTATAGCCCAAAAGTTAACACTCTTCTCTCCTGTGACCAGCATCTCTTCCAAAGAAGCAGAGCCCCTGAGTTATTAATTCAATAGTTGAGTTTTCCACTTTGCACTGCCTGACAATAAATACACACAGAAACAAAGTCAGCAAGTCAAAGCTTATCTTACGCAACACACAATGTATCACGCAAGAAACTGAACACCACAACTCACTTTAAAACAGAGCTGAATCTAACTGAAGTACAGACGAGGACTTGGAGAGCAGAATTCATTTCTAGGGTGTGCAAGCTTAGCACTAGTGGTATATGTTGATTAAGGACTGGCAAAGCATTCATGAAATTATGCTGAACTTGTGTAGCTTACAGAAACAAATACCTTTTTTTGAATAGATGGATAAGCTTGGCTACATCGTAGCACAGCTGCACCTCCAGCACAGTACAAGTTGGGTAGGCAGCCCTGAAAAGGAAGCAGTACAGGAGAAATAGAAGAAAGTACAATGAAGAAACTGTTCCAAAGAGCATCACTGATGTCTAACCAATATCTCAGTCATTTCATTTCTGAAGGAGGTATCATACAGGGGAGACTTCCAAAGAGACAGTTGCTAAAAATTAATGTGAGACGTGCAGCATTATTCCCAAGTAAAGGCTGTGTGGGAGCCTGGATGGGAAGCATGGATACACAAGACACTTCCTCAGATTCTCATTTTAAGATCAGCTAACTATTGAAATATTCCTTAGACAGAATTGAGAAAAGATTACAAGACATGCTTTTAGAAGACTGATAATACAGCATGAATTTTAAACGTGCCAATGGTCAAAAAACCGTTTCTGCATGGGCAGACAAAACTAGTAGGACAATTTTAAATCTCTTATTCCTAATGATACTACTCAAGTACGGACTTTCTATATGGGCATATAGTCACAGGACAAGGGGGAATGGCTTTAACCTGACAGAGGGGAGATTTAGATTAAACGTTAGGCAGAAATTCTTCCCTGAGGATGCTGAGACGCTGGCACAGGTTGCCCAGAGAAGCTGTGGCTGCCCCATCCCTGGCAGTGTTCAAGGCCAGGTTGGATGGGGCTTAGAGCAACCTGCTCTAGTGGAAGGTGTCCCTGTCTGTGGCAGGGGGGTGGAACTGGATGAGCTTTAAGGTCCTTTCCAACCCAAACCAGTCTGGGATTATATGAACTTACGTGAAATGGCCATGTACTGTCTCTTCTTTTGCATCTTTTGGAAGACCAGTTATAAACAATGTGCACTTAACCTGCAGGAGAAATTGCAATTCCAATTTAAAGAAACCACAAGCATACAAAGGCAGCAGTGACACAGCACAAGCAGGTGTGTTGTAGAGGGGAAAAAAGGTAGGAAATTTTGATTTTGATGGGAGCTGCATCTATTCAAGACAGCACCAGGTTCACCTTCTACTCTGGCAATAGGGTACACCAAAATTTCACAAATCCCTCCTCAACCCCCTTCTCTCCACTTATTTTCACAATTAATTCACTCAGTGGAGCTCTGCTTTCAGTGAGTTTCTTCACAGTTACATCACATTCTAGCAAGCAGGAGGCATGTTAGCAATTTGGGGGTTTAGCATTACCCACTTGCAAACATGCGGTATGATTTTTTTTCCACCCCAACAGAGAAACTTACTATGTTTTCTTCTTTATAGGTGACATACTTCATGTGATGTCTCATGAAGACAACAGTCAGAATCAGGTAAACAACAGCAAAAACCGTGTGCAGCCAAAGAAGATTATTACTGTTGGACAAAACATTATGAATATGAAAATTAGGAAGAACTAACTGTCCAACTGATACAAGTAGCCATCAAAATGCTAAGCAGATCAGAGCCTCTCACTGAACACAAAAATAAAGTTAGTTACTGGTAGCCAGTTACTCCTATGCAGAGGCACTGGACAGTCATTAGGGTTACTGGCTTATCATAAAATCGTATGGGTAACAGGCTTACAGAGAATTCTGTGACATGGACATTTTCAGGCAGCATTTGCCTTGTGCCTTGTTCTTCAGATGACCAATAGCCCACACCATGTCAATTACCAAAATGTTTTCTATTGGCCTTATTATTTACTGTGCTGAGTGCAGAACTGAACTCTCCTTGAATACAATCCTTACTCCAATTGATAACAGCCTAATGCAGGGAGTAAATTCTGCTTCTCTGACAGCTCCTTCCTCAGAGCTTGCAGGAGTTCTGTTCTGCAAACACCTCTTCAATTTTGCAAGGAGCATTAAGAATTACAAATAACCTAAAATACAGGAACCTGTTTTACAGATAAATAACCCAACCAAGCAAGAAGTCTCCATCAGTTACTAGGCTTTGTAACATGGTTAAAAAAGCCCCAAAGCGCATTGGCAGAAACTCTGTGAGAAATAGGGTCATGGATAGATGTGATCAAAGTAATAAAAGAGAAAAAATGTACAGCTTTGTACTTCAACTATTTTAAAGACTGTTTTAAAACACATATAAGTAATTTTAATTGTGATCTCAGATGGGAGAGAGATGCACATGCATAAACCTAATATATGGGAATTGAAATCATCTGAGTTACACATTCTAGTAAAGCTGTCAGCCTTATTTTCCAATTTTCCTTCTCAAGTATGGTTTCTTTTAATGTGGAAATTTCTGAAATTTCTAGATGTGCAGTCATGAGCCAAAAAAAACATGTGGTGTAAGAAGTAAGAGCTGAGAAAGAAGGAGCCAAGCCTCTAGATTTCTTATCAGCACTGTAACTGCATAGCCTGAAGCAGAACGTATCCCCAGTTTCAGTTGATGAAGCGTGAATAAGTAAATTCTACCCCATAAGCCATGCTGCAAGCATCAATTCATGTGCTAGAGACTATGGCAGGAAACACACATAAGCATAAAGGTACTCTGAAAGATCTACTTACCCAGTTTGCAAGTTTACTATAGTTGTTCTTCCAAAACTATAGGGATCTTTATCTAAGAAGGACAAAAATAAGCAGCATAATTAACTGGTGCAACATTCACATGAAAATTAGAAAGTCAGCTTTTATTCTATTTTCTTAAAAATATTGATATGCTTCTTTTTAACGCTGAGCATATTCATTATTAAAAAGATGCAGAATCATAACCAATGCTGGTTTCCTGTATTGCGTTTTAAAGTTGGGAAAAAAGCCCCAGGATTATACCACATTCAACTCATCAAGAGAAAGATTAGTTTATTTTAAAAGCCTAAATGCTACATCTTTTCAGGGTCTCCCTTTCTCTCTCCAATCTCCGTTGATGCCCATTAGCAACACTACTCCGGGACTTGAACATATTTCCTTCACATTTTTATTTCATCTTAACTGATTTCTTATCTCAGGTTTTTATATTGCATTAATTCAGTGTTGACAAAATGGCACTGATAACCTTACTAAGGTCAAGGAGGAAAGAGTTGATATGACATTGTTTCTCTAGACTGTCAAGTATTTAAAGAAAATGATAACATGAGTGGAAACTGAGTACATGTTCACAAAGGAAAAAGAGCTAAGTGTATCTGGAAAACCAAACAGTCTTTTAGCACAGTCTGTTGAGCCACATTGCAAGTCATCACAACAGAAAGAAACTGCAAATGCACAAAATCAACATATGGTGGAAGGGAAGGAAGAAGGGGAGAAATACTAAAACTTCATCTTTGATTTTCAGCTGTATTTCCTACCATCATAAAAGTTAATGCAGGAAAAGAGAGGCTGTATTATCCTGCTTTAGAAGGCCAGACATGCTCTGCCATTTGAATTAACAGAGAGCATCTACTGGTATCCAAAATACAACTTTTACAAATTGTAGTTAGAGAAGGACAGTGCACACAAATTTATGTGTATTACAAAATCTATTTTGGTGTAAACGTACAGCCAGAAACTAAACCAGAAGAGAACTACATCCTGTAAGTTCTTTGGGGGCACTGGCATTTCCCTCTTTACAAATGACATAAGACAGCAACCAGGGCTAGAGCTGTGTTGCATTTGATCCTCTACAACTAGGCTGACAACACAGAGATGTAAAGCAGGGAAGGAGAAGTGACTGTGAAGTGATAAAGTGTTCTTTGAAAGAACAAAAAGAGAAATAAAATTCAAAAAAGAAAAAAAAAAAACCAAAACCAAACCAACTCAGCAACAGTCTTTAAGAAAGCAGATCTCAATATAAACAGGAAATTGATAAGAAAGAGCTTATAAAAAGGAAGTCAGAGATGGCAGTTCCACAAAGAAAGTGTATTAAAGGCACAGGTACTAAATATTCCATTACAGATGAGGGCTAAGTCACAAAGCTCTTTAAAACACAGAAGTAAACCGAAAACAAGAACTAAGACACATTATTAAGGACAATAGAAGAGAGTAAATTGTAGAGACAAAGGTCAGCAAGATCAGTACAAAAAATAAGATGCAACTGTTGTGGTATAACAACAAACAAAACACAGGTAAGCACTCTGTTTGAGAACCCCTGGGGAAACCAAATGAATTAGCGCTTTTTCTTTGTATCACTATTCACCAAGATGATTAATTATGAACAACTCTGCAAACATCATCTTGACAAGACAGTCAAAATAAGCAGATTCATACCAAAGACATCTTAATGGGCTTGTAAGAGCTCATTATAAAAAAAAAATAATTATGGAAGAATGTTTAACAGACTTTAACAGCATTCTGTCCACCAGTATTCTCATTAGCAACCTGAATGGCAGACTAGAGGACACATACACTGTATTTGTTGTGAGTTTATAGTGCAAAGAGGTGTCACATTTGCAGACATAACCAGGACTAGACGGCAAGAAACAGGAAATAAATCTTTGTCTAGTCAGCACAAACACAGTCTCAGCAAGAAGATTTATCCAGTTTTGGGCTGCAAACCAAGACAGAAAGGAACAACAGGAGACAGCCTAGCTAGATTTATAAAACTTCATAGGATGGATGATTATTTTACTGATCTTACAAGCAGCCAAATGGAAAGTATTTCTCATTAATGACCAAATTAACTGGTCTGATTTATCAAAAAGATGATGAATTCATAATCCTTAAGCAGTTTAAAAGACATTCAAAGAGGAAATGAATAATCTATTCTCCCCAGTGACAGGTCAAAAAATAATGATCTTAAATTGCAGCAAGAGATTCAGACTGGACACCAGAAAAAGATTTCTCAGCTGTGAAGTCAGTTTCCACTGGCAATCATCACCACCAATAAAAATCCTAAGGAGTGCCTAGATAAACACCAGTTAAAGAGTGCACAGGTAAAGTTAACCCTGACTTGAGCCTTCTAGGTCTAGCTGTCCATGTCTGCATGTGGTTTGCCATCTAAAAGCTTTTACCATTGTATAAACCACAAAATTCTTTTCAGAATACAAAATAAAACTTCTTACCAAGTAGATCACCCGACAGGTTGACAGGTAATATAACACACACAGACAAAATGCTGACAGCAATCAACAAACAGATGATGTGCCGCTGGAAGGCAAGGTAATGTATGGCATCTTCACCACATCTCTCATGGATCTCATCATCACTGCATCACAGACAGAAAAGTACATGATCAGTCTACTTGGTATCGTTAAGGTTCTAGGGGATGGTTTCTGAATATATACTACTTTCTTAGTCTACCCAGTGACATCTCCATCAATCCCTATCAGTTTTCAACATGGTTGTGTTCTTCCACATAAAAATTTAACTTCCAAAAGTGTTTTTTTTCCTTGTGCAGTATCACCACCCAAAAATTAACATGGGGAAACTGAAGATGGAAACAAGTAATCTGAAAAACAAATAAAAATCCAAGGTCTTTTTTATCAGCCTGAAAGAGGACAAAGTCATTTGCTGTGACCTCTTGCTTTATGACAGTCACAAGGTTGAACATCTAGCTCTCAGAATTTAAGATCACACTGTGATGGGTGTTCATTCATCTCCATAAAGGCTCCCCATGAGGAAAATTACTATACAATCACCCTACTCTTATAACATCCAATTAACAGAAGATATGAACAGGCTTCAGAATGAACTCTCATCGTCTACCCTTTTTCAGCAGGACAGATCATTAAAGTAGGAATTCTTGGAAAAGGAAGGAACTGAACTAGCAAAAATGGAGAAAGACGGCCTCAATCTCCACTCCTTCTTGTTCCAATGTACCCAAGCTGGAAACTGATTTTTTAAAATCATGATTTACTAAACCCTAAGAGATGTAAAGAAAGAACATTACATGCCTAATGCTCAGTTTCTGGGAAACAGTGGAATGGGTTTTTCCTCATCAGTCACTTCCAGCCTCAACTAAACCACCTATTCTCCACAGAAATCCTTGCAGGGAAACCCCACTTGCTGCCTGAGGCCCTGCTGGCTTCAAACAGGGGAACACCCACACAGTACTCTTTGAAGAGTGAAAGCCTAGAGCCTAGTTATCAGCTCAGAATCCATATAAATGCCATAGATTCACACACTGTCACAAGATCAGGAAGTCCTTGGGCTGCCAGGAGGCTAACTGCATCCTGAAGAAGTATTCCCATTAGCTGTGTTTTTTATATTCTTTTGCCAGCCCACCAGAGGCACCTGTATCACTGTTTGCATTAAATCTTATCTACTAAAACAAAAATCCACCCCAAACCATTTTTGAATGCAACCCCCCTTTTCTAATTAAAAAGAGCAAAGCCCAGGACAGCTCACTATTTCTGTTTCATATACTTACTGCATCCGAAAAGCAGCTGTCATCCAAGAACAAAACCCCTGTAAATTAAGAAGGAAGTTTTTAGGAACTAGCATACAAAAGAACATAGTCTCTACACAATTAAGAGAAGTGTTTCCACTAAGCCAACCTCTTAGCTAAAAACCTGGCAGTCAATTGCTCCAAAGTCATCATTTAGACATATATAGAAAAAAAACCTAATAGTCTACGTATTTTTCACAGGGTACTTCATATGTCTGTTTTCAGAGAGTATTTAAGGGTTGTTGTTTTGTTTGTTGTTCTTTCTCTCATTACTTACATGTTCGTCACTTGGGCTTCTTAAATTTATACAAGCATGCCCAAATCCCAGTGAATGGAAGTCAAGATGAGGCTTCTAAAGATTTATTTTTAATGGATTGTTTTAGAGCAGGAAAGGTGACTATCTTTTCCAAAACCATTTCCAGATACTCTCCAATTTTAAGGATAAACTCCATGAAAGTCTAATACAAGTTAATGAATTAAATAGCAGTTAGAAACAACACTGTGATGACATTAGCAGAAAAGCTTCGTATATACATTTACAAATCCTCCTCTGAAACTGTGCAGCAGAGATCACAACTCACTGAATGTTCCAGTACAGCTCAAAGAACACCCAAAACCTTCTCTCTCAAAAGACCTCTTCTTTCAAGCTAATAGGAGCCAAGTAAAGAGACATTTTTATTCAACAGCTTCAGTGACAAAGTTGCTTTAGGGTTTTTCAAAAGATGAAGAAAACTACACAAACAGCAGAGCAATCCTGATCAAACGCTAGTGTGCTTTTGATGCTCACACAGTTATTTAGTTGCAAAGCTAGATATTAAGTCGATGAATATATAAAAGGTTAAAACATAGGCTGCCACAATTGCACAACACTTGCATGGCTCACTCTGAAGCTGCAACACAAAATGATAGAGGTACATGAATTCAAAGACTCCAGAGAGACCAAGGAGGGAACCAATTAAAAGTCTGGCCACAAAACTATCTTCCACTCCAAACCAGCCTTAATATTAAGGGTACATGGCACTATTACTGGCCTGACATTTGCAATCCAGTTTCCTCAACATTGTGAGGAAAACAGTGTATTATAAAGACCAGTTGGGTATTATTTGCAATAATGTAACTTACTGAGCTGTTAAGTACAAAATATTTACTAGACATCCTTTGAAATAATAATCATAATAATAAAGATACTTAAAAACCATGAGGTAAGATACTGGTTTATGATATAAGAATAGTCTGTCAGGAAACAAATAAATTACATATGGTCCTGTAAAAACACAGTAAACAATGCACTATTTATTTTTGCATATAGATGGCCTTCCAGTTTAATGACTGGTTCATTGGGCTAGGTGGAACAGCAAATTACAACAGATTCCATTAAACAGCTTACATTTTTGAAAAAATATATCAAAATTCTATAATACTTACCTTATCATATTCAAGATCTTCAGGTACTGATGAAGATGTTGACAATCTGTTGTATCTTGATTCACTAAAATACATTAAATGCTGCTTTTAACTATCTTTAATAACAGATGATGGAATTCCACAGAATTATTCAACTTTAACAATCCTGAAGTAACTACAAAAACACTTTTTCACTGTATTTCACAACTATGGTTTTCACCTTGCAGCATATGCTTAATTACAGAAATATGTGCTATGTCTGATCTTGAAAAGGGAGGATGCGAGCTCCTGATGTGAGAGTGTATAATTGAGCTAGAGAGAAAATAATGTTTTATTGGGCTATTAAAACCACAGTAACATAGAAGAATGTAACACGGGTTTGGAAGCCTGGCAAGGATCAGATTTGCAAGCTAGCTTCCTGTTCAGATATCCCTCATTAAAAGACATCACCTCTTTTCCTTCCACCTTTCTTCCTGCATCTTACAGCCACTGCTCGGAATTTCCCCACACAATTAAATCACTTACCTGCCAAACCACTTCCTCACACAAAACCAAGTCCCACAGCAAGGCTAGACTCTGTAGCCCTCAAAAACAGCAGAGTATCTGTTTTCAGTTGTTGCTAACTAGAAATGTTGCAATGGTGATGTGCCCATAATTACAGGACAATACATGTTAAAATGGAGTGTATTCATAGGTGTATCTGTGATAGTTTTGACCTAGTGGCTCAAATCACAGTCCAGAAGGGACAGTAACATAGGCTCCTGGATGCCTGACTGCTCAAGGATCTGTTTGTCCCATGCAGGCCTTTACAGACCACATGGAAGCCTATACCAGAGCATCTTCATTCTTGCTGACTGAGCTACCTGGATTGAAGCCATCTCGGTTATTGCCATTCCTTTTTAATCCCCACCATCTTCATTTCACAGCTGTAATGGATTACAGCTAAAACCACATTTCAAGTTTTTTCCTGATGCTTAGTTGTGAATTTACAACTTAGTTACACCACTAATACCAGGAAGAGGCTTGCTGTTAAAGTTCACCCACTTCATAAACAGACAGCTAGCTTTTAAACACCCTAAGACATCATCCTGCAAAAATAACATTTAAAAATAAATAATCAAAAGCTTATTTACAGTAATACTGAAAATCAGCAAAGAATTCCAGAAACCTGCAATGATACATTTCTTTATTTAAAAAATAGCAGAGGCTGCACAGGGAGCTCTGGAAAGACACTGGGCTTGAGCCAAGATAAACAAAATAGTCAATATCCTTCTATCACAGAAACACCTTTAAGACATCAATGTGTGGGTATGTGACATGTTAGCAGACAAGCAGCCTATTTTCTTACCTCCACTTCCTCAACCCACAACTGTAAAATGAAATTTATGATGATGCCAAACACACAACTCTATTACTGAAACCACAAAGAGTAACTTTGAGTAGGGCCTATTTCACACAAAGCAGCACAAGGACATTTTTAACAAATACGTGCATGTGGTTCCAACCATATCTGATACAAATGCACTTCATTTAAGCCATATTTACTGTACTTAGTTACACATTCCCCAGTTTCAACAAATCAGTCTGACTGCCTATCTTTTTTACCTTTCAGCTTCTGACACCAGAGCAACACGACCGTAGTCCCAGAATCTCTTTCTTATAACAGAAAACAGTAATATTAAAACCTAGAAAAGAAAAATAAGAATCTTTGAATATTGATTTTTCCACTTCATAATAATTTTTTAGGTGTGTAGGAACCGTCAAAAAATGCTGTCCTGGCTCCTAAACCAATTGTCATATGCTAACCAACCCAATGGTGGCCATGCCACAAAGAACACTGGGACCAAAGGATGAGAACACCTGCCTTCCTCTTTTAACTTATAGAGGAGAACTGCATGGAAAAGTACTTCTGAACTGCAAGTGTATGAAGGTTGGTGACAGGAAAAGAAGCAAACAGTACTTGAGGGGAAGTCAGAACTTTCATAAATACACCTTTACACATTCACGACTTAATGACCAGAACTATGATGGAAGACAGTGATGTAAACAGGCTGCAGCGGGTTCAGCTACTTTCTCAAGTATGTGACTTATTTTTATCCCTAAAAAAGTAATGTATTATTACAACTCATAAACCCCAGAAACTTGTATTTGATCTCTGCAATGTATTCTTTTATCTCCCCCTGTATTTTTACTTTTTAAAAGATGACAATAAACCAAACACTGTATTTCACAGATGCATTTCTTTCTTTAAAAATAAGTTGCTTTGTACACTGAGGCAATGAAACAGAAGTAACAAGGCCTGTTTTCTATGCATATGCATCATATGCCTTCACCTTCCAGCCCCTCCTACATCCCATACCTGTTTGGCTAGAAAGTGGTGTAACTTACCTGGATCTATGCAAACACCGACTAGCCAGCTGGGATATGCATCAAGATTATCTATGTGTCAGGATTACACAGCTAATTTACACATTTCACAATAAATATAATCTTCTTATAAAAGCCTTCGCCCCAACAAGGGTTATTAATTTAAGTCTTCCTTCTTCAACTTGCCATTAAGCTTAATGTAAGCAGGAAAGCCTCTGACAACTTTGGTTGAAATTGCATAACATGTTTTATGGTTATGAGGAGGAACTGACAGGCAAAAACGGGAAGAGAACATAATATATAAACTTCACTTCCGTAGGAAACCAGCCTAGAAATAATATTCAGAAACCCATCAACTGACAGTTACTGAGGGGATCTGCAGTAAACATGTCATGAAAACAGGAATACAGGAGTTGCTCAATAAATTGCAGTATTTGGCACTTGAAGAAGAGAGAAGCCTTCTACACTGCATCTAACTACATAATGCTGCTTGATAGGAGAGTTCAACAGCAAGGAACTCAAAAGCAGAGACTCAGTATCTTAAAGATCAACCACAGCTTAAAAATTAAAGTTGTCCCAAACACTCCAACTAAATCTTACCAAATGCTGTGCCATCAGTCACAAACAGCAGTAAACATTGTACATCCTCCAAAAATGGGTTTATGGTAGCATGCTGCATACACCAGATCAGTAACACTTAATGCTACTCCATGACTGTTAGGAACATACTCTACATTCCCACAGAACTATCAGCTCGGATCTTAAACAGGTAGGTTTTTGTTTCTCCACAGAGGCTTTCTAGAACTCAGGAACTATGTCATCCCTTCAGTCTCATTTTACTACCACAAACCTCACTTATCAGGCCAATTTGGAGGTCTACAGCTTTTTCATGTGGCTTAAGACCATGTAGATCACAGAAATAACTAAGTTTTATTGGAGTCTCAGGCCTGTCCTGAAGCCTCCAGAGCAGCAACTAATCCTCCTTTTGTCAGGACTGAGCTGATCAGCACATTATTTCCTTAACAGCTTCATAAAATCTAATGTTTAAAAAGTCTGTGAAATGACCAATTTTCCATATAGTATTCCCTTTGGAAAACCAATCAAGTTATTAATGATGTTCCCTTCCTGAAGGGGTACCTACTACTTAAACCCAGAGTAAGGAAAAAATGTTGCTGCAGTTAAGACAAAACATAGGACTTTGAGCTACCACTATAAAGCTTACCATAAATCCACATACAGGCCCTCTCTCTACATCTACACATTGAACATCCAGTGACACAGCCATCCCACGTATATGGGATCCTTTATCAATGCTTGTTAAAGTGTTTTGATGTTCCCAGGATGGCCCTAGCACATTTCTTATGTTGAAGATCCTCAGAAACAGATTTCCTGATAAATAAGAGAATTCTGAAGAACTTCACTTTTGAAAAGGCCACAGATATTTTCAATACAAGAAACAGAAACTGGACTTACAAAAAAGAAGGTTACATCAAGCAGCAGTACAGTTGGGATTCCACCAAAAGTTACGCCTTGGAGCACTGTGCTGCCCTGGGCAGTGCTATAGCAGTATGTCTCATTTGTTGAGTTGAAAGGTAGACTTCTATTCCAGAAGTAGACTAGATGAGAATGTCCAAAACCCAGGAAAAAGAAAGGGTTCATTTTGTGTTTCCTTTAAAAAAAAAACAGAAAAGAGAAACAACCATGTGAAAAGCCTGCCTGGTATTTGTGAGATATACTGATACTGAAAGTATAAAAACAGCAGAAAGATTCAACCAGGAAGCTACTTTGGAAAAGAAGTTATATTTGACAAACTTTCCCCTTCACCTGTAAAATATTACACAATACCTGACAGCCCCAGTTACTAGCAGTGCCCAGTGCGAGTTCCAGGCATCCAACCAACCACGTTCTGTACACACACTTGAGGAAGATGATTAAAGACCTACACAAACTAAATTCTCTGTCTTCTGAGCTCTAGTATCAAACTACTTATCCCTGCCTGGGTTCCGATTTTAGGAGTAACATGGGACATCAGATATTCCAACAGTGGCAAGTTGAAGATTTTACTCCTAGTTGATGAGCATGCGCTGAATATACCAGCTTGTGAACGTTGTATTAAATAAATGTCAAGACCTTGAGATTATTAACTAATTTCCTACTAATCCCACAGGAAAGAACTACTACACAAACATTCATCTCTGCTGTTAGGATACTGTGTGATTTTCCTTTGTTAATGGTATTCAACTGAAAGAAGTGCACAGTGCACCACAAACAAGAAAGAACAAAGAATGTTTCTAAAGAGAACAGCCATCTACCTCATTTTAAGTCAACTGACCTGCTCAGATAATGTGGTAACATAAAAGAATGAACAAGATTTGGCTGCTGATACAAACTTTTTTTTATCAGCGCAGGCAATTGCTCACTTATTTTGGGGCTTTCCACTTCAAGCATTTCTTTTCTTGTATCTTACTAGCCTGATGGCTTCAATGTAGCCTGGACAAAAGCATCTTTCATGCATAACACCCTTCTGACTGACAAATTCATGAAAAAAGCATACTCCAAAAAAATACCCTTTGAAAGCAAATAAGGCACTCATCACGCAGGTCCAGGGACACTGCTTTTGGGATACCATGCCTTTGTAAGAGGAACACACGTGTCTGATGGCAGCACTATTCTGGATGCTGAAAACAAAACCAAACCAAGATTATTTATAACTGCAAGTTCTCCCTTTAAACAGCAGGAAATCAGCGTGGAGAATACTCCTTCCAAACCAGCTTTTACTAAAGACTGGACTGTGTGACACGGTGGGAAAGAAATTCTGTCCCAACTGACACGTTTCATCACAGGGAAACATATAAACAAACCAACGCGTGCCGGGAATCTGTACTTGCTTTCTAAGCATGCAAACTGCTGACAAAAGGTACTATTGAACACACTTCCGAAACCTTCACCACAAGTGCACGGACAGCACACTAAGTTTCACGTAACATACGTATCTTATCAGACACAGTTTCTAGTTCTTAAAAGCGATTATTTTTAAGATATTTTTAAGCTATATTTATATTATTATCCGGCTGTCAGGAAGATAAAGAGAACAGCAAGACCTGCCACGGGTGGATTTGCGCTGCAGCAACCAAGAGGCACCTGGCCACGTTTCGAGGCAAGGCGAGCACCGGTGCGGGCTCCATAAACGAGAACCCACCTCCTTTCAAAGGGCTGGGACCCCGACAGTGTCTCCTGCCCGGAGAGGGTGTGAAACGGAGGTGTCAAGGCCCGTTTCTCGGGCGGCACACGGAAATCTTGCAAAGAGCCCACCCCTCAGTTCCCCGCTCGCCTCAGGGCAACGAACATGCGGGGGCAGCCCCCGCCCCACAGGGAGGAGACGCCTCCAGGGCCGCCCGCTCCCCGCCCCGAGCCCGCCGAGGGTCCCCTGCGGACACTGACGAGGAAGCGGGGAGGCGGCCCAGGGAAAAGGCCGGGTCCCTCAGGAGAGCCGGGCGGAGTGGAACCGGCAGCCCGGCCACCCGTCAGGGCTCACCGCAGCCCTATCCCCTCCCCGCGGGCACCTCAAGTAGCCTCTGCCCCGCCGGTGCCCGCACAGCGCAGCTGACAAGGGCTGCCCCCGCCCTCCCTTACCTGCACCGCGGCCTCTCCCTTCCCTTCCTTCCCTCCCGTCCCGTCCCCACACGGGGTGCCTCACCACAACACCCGTCCCAACCCCGAAGTTACGAGCTTCAGCAACAAGTCCCGCGAGCTGCGCATGCGTGACAGGTCGGGGCGGCGGCCATGGCTCGCCCGCCTTCTGTCTTCCTGACGGGGTGGCATGGCGCCGCAGAGCGGCTGTGTGCGTGGTGGGGAAATGGCTGCTCCTCTGTACCCTTCTTTTCCAGACCCTGGAGTGTTCTCCTTAGGGAAGGGACCACGTAGTGAAATAACCGGCGGCGACTTGCTGTCGTTTTTCGTGTTCCATCTCATCTGTCACCAACATGGCGTGGCAGGGGGGAGATGTGATCACCCGGTTTTAGTCAGCGGAGTTTTGCTTCAGACACCCAGAGCAGTGGTGGGAGCTGTGCTTATTCCCCATACCACAAGCAAGAGCTTCAGGTTAGAGGCCTGTGTATGCCAAAGAACCTACCTTTAAAGCATAGAATCACAGACTGGGTTGGAAAGGACTTAGTCCTAGCCCCCTGCCATGCACAGCTTGAGCCAAGCATTCCCTTGATGAAACAACGTTGAAGTGGCATCTACAATGGTTTACAACAGTTATTTCTGATGTTCATAGCTAAGAAGGTTTTATGCCAGATCCTACCAATAAAACCTTTGGTAAAGAATGAAGGATTTCAAAACTACTTTGTGGTTTCTCAGTGTGGGCTACAGTGCTGTGGTTTGGAGGAAGCCATTTTGTGCCTCTATGACTTGTTATCCATTAACGTTGAAAAAACCTAGACCCAAACAGAGCTTTTTATAGAAAAATGATAAAAAAATAAATAATAATAATAATAAAAGAAGAAGATACGTGAGATTTCAAGAGAGACTTCACAGTTCCCAATCTGGTGAAGTGGACAAGCATGCAGGTACAAATGGAGCAGCCCATACACTAAGGTAACTGAAAGAGATTAAGTTATAATAGTAACATGGCTGTTCCACAGAATATTCAAAGCCTTTTGTCTCCACACGCCTGAGAAATAGCATTCCCGTGTTGTAAATTGGAAAAAAACAAAACCTAGGGAGTTTTATCTTAATGTGCCTATGACAAATCTGGGAGGAAACTGATTCCCAGCCCATGGGATGCTGGGGATCAAGGCATCTCTACCAGCAGAGATGAAGAAGTCAGGCCACACTTGTGCTTAAGAACTGAGCATCGCAGCTGCCAATAAGCCAGTATCTCCTCCAGTTGACAGTGTTGCCCATGCCTCTCCATCTTCAGCTCTTTATGTTCATGTCTATTCAGACTATATTTCTTAGGGCCCTGAATGCATACCTGCTATTCAGTTCCCTGCCATTTTATTAATCCACAACTGTTTCTCTCCGTCAAATTCTTGTTTCACTTTTCAGGGATGGGTGCTCAATGGAGAGCAGCATTTGGCTGTACATGTTACCTGCCTTCGTTCAGTCCATCCCACAGAAGGGGAAAAGTACTATTTACCTGCAGTAACTGAGAGACATTTTAAGATATAACTCCGTAATTTATCTAGCAGCTGTATTGTAGATAACCTGTAATTTTACACTGTTAGTTGGAAAATGGCATAAAAGTTCCAGCTCAAAGCAGAGTGGTTCAGATTCACTGCTGGAATAAAGAAATTCCACTGTTGTTGAATGATACTGATTATTTTAGCTCTGTGCTTAGGGATATGTTGGTTCTAAGGTTGTTTGGTGTGAGTGTAGTAATTACTCCATCTTGGCTTCTCTGGAGTAACTGTTCCTGTGGAACTGTGGACAGTGTATTTTAAAACAGAAATCTAAAGTGGATTAGTTGTAATTGCTTTCTTTTAAATAAAGATTACTGATGTAGTTGCAGCAGAGTAGACCTATCACATAGGTGAAGCCTCAGTGTATGCTCACAGCTCTTACACTGCTAGGACCAAAATCCTTTTGGTTGATTTTCTCAGTGATTTCTTTAGCTGTTTGTACTTTTGAGTCTTGCCTTATTTTTTCAAAATTAAGAAGGCCTTGCTGTGGATAGATTATCTTCCTTTGGAGTGTAAAATAGGTGATATTCAATGATCTTGACATTATAGTCTTGATGTTCTGCATTCTGAAGACTTTTGCCTGGCTACAAAATCATTTTCCCCTCTTTCTCACAAGAGTAACATCAGGCTTTTGTCATTTGGGTTTTTTTTTTCTTCCTCTGTCTAGACAGGCTCTTTAGCTAAGTGGTGTGATTTTGTTTATCTCTAATTTCAACAGCAGAGTCACATTTCCCTCTTCCCTACCTCTTGTAAATAGGGTTTTGTTTACCACTGTCTGTTCTTTTGGTGACAAAAGCCGCATACTGTCATTAGTTAGCAAACGTTTCATTATGTTGCTCAAGCAGATGGAAGTCCAGCCTCAGCACCTGGGGAGCAGGCCAACAGAATTTCAGATTCTTCCATCTTTCTTGTATTTTGCATGTTCCATATTCACTTCAACAGCTCTTTAGCACCAAGCTGAACAAGTGTGCTGGGTGTTTACACTTACGTGTGCGACTCTTCCCTTGCTTTATTAAATGACCTTATGTCTGAAGAACTCCTCTGTCACTTTAGTTTGATTTATCACAGCAGGACTTCCCTTGATGGGTGAACTCCCAACAGGACATCAATAGTCTCTGGACGCGAGTAGCAGGTGGCCTGATGCTTTACCATGCGTGGCAGCTCTCACTGTGGTTTCTTCTCTCTGAAGAAACTCGTTAGCCCAGATTGCTGCTCCTTACTTATCTGCCTATTCAAATATATCTTAATGGATTTAATTCAGGCTTCTAGCCTGGCAGCCCTTTGCTAGCTTTTTCTCCTTCATCTAGCAGTCTGTTTACAAGGCTTGATATACCCAAGGATTTGGTGTGGGCGTTAAGGAGTCTTCCTTTGAAAAGCCTGAGCATTAATATATGTCTAATAAAAACAAACCAATAATAAAATCTAGACAGATAGATTTAAATGAACTATAATCATAATACAAATCAGCAAGCAGCAATGTTGATTTAAATTAACAATTTACACTTGGTTTCTTGCTATACTTATTTTTGTAGTGCTGCTTCACATTCATAGATAACATGTTGATTTTCAAGGTAGAAATAGCCTTGCATTAAAGTTGGAATGTATTTCTAGTAAGAGAATTCATTATTTTACAAAATATTTAACCTACTATAGCTATCAATATATGATAGAAATTTGTCTTGCTTTGCTTTTACATTTTGTGTCAGGAAATGGTGAATGGAGTGTTAGTATTGATGCTTGAGCATGATTGATTTTTCTCATGAGCTTTGTCAAGATAACAACTGGAGTTTTGTCAAAATGCACAAGTAACTGCAGTCAGAAATAGCAGCACTGAAAAGTGCAGGAGAAAAAAAAAAAGCTTATTTCAACATATTTTGCATTTAAGCTTGATTTATGAAGTGGTGAATTATTGTCCCTACTTTGTGCACTGAGCTCAGTGGTTTTGATCATCCTGGTTGTGTCTGAAGAGGCATCCCAGTGAGTGCTTCTGTACAACACCCCAGCTATGAACACTGCCAAACCTTGCCATAGGCTAAGCCAGGCCTGTGCCTTACCAGGGGACAGTGCATGGACTTCCTCACCCCTGTGCATGGTGTGAGGTTTTATGCCTCTGTTTTGTGGCTGTGGAGGATCTCTTGCTGATTTTTAGGTTTATTACTAGCTCGTCGAAATGCAGCCGCTGTTGATGTGACACACTTCGGCACAAAACTAGGACAAGGTGATGTGAAACATGGATGACTTCATGATTTTCTGAATATACCTATTATCTTAATGCCTATCCATGTGTTAACCGTGTGTGTATAGAGCCTGAAGGGAGTTAATGTATGAGTGGCATAGCACTAACTATAATTAAGGCAGCTCTCTGAGAGAGAGGGAGATGGAGAAACCGTCTGTCACAATGTGGTCTCTCCCAGTGGAGAGGACAGCACCTGGCCACATGACCCCTTGGATTTAGGTGAATCAGGGAGCAGGTGTGTTTGTCACCAGTATAAAATACAAACCACTTACAGCTTGCTTTTGGCTGCAGCAGATGTTAGTTCTAGTGAAGAACTCTGGTGTCCTGTAGAGCCTCTGTGTTCCACAGCTTTCCTGACCATAAATAGTAACTCTCGTTGTACCAGTACCAGGGTGAAAGCAAACCTGGACAGATACTAAGAACATCCTGCCTTGGGTTCTGCTTTCCTTGGAGCAGAAAGCTGGGTGATTGCTTTTGCAGGAGCCACAAAACGCCCCAGGAGATCTTGCAGTCTAAGCCATTGGAGGGTGAAGTCAGCAGGGTTTGCTGGAAGCTTGAATTGAAAGTACGTATTTGTTAAGCAACCTCTCAAATCTTGGTTCTGATTAGAAAAGATTGGAAAAGGGAAAATAGGGTCTAGTTTTTTTTCAAATACTACTCATTCTGAGCAAACTAGTTATTCCATTGATTGGTCTGCTTTATCCACTGTCTACAAAGAGTCCAGTGAGTTTCACAGCTTTTAGACTTAAGAACTGGGTTTCAAGGCTTTGGTGATGGCTCTTCTTGGTTCACTGGCTTGACTTCCCTTCAGATATCAGCATCAGACACATTACTTGAACCTTTATAAATGTAATTCACAGTATTTTTAAAGTGTCAAAAGCTTAAGCCTTAATATAGATTCATAGAATGGTTTGGGTTGGAAAGGACCTTAAGATGATCCAGTTCCAGCCCTCTGCTGCGGGTAGGGACACTTCACACTAGACCATGTCACCCAAGGCTCTGTACAACCTGGCCTTGGACACTGCCAGAGATGGAGCATTCACCACTTCCGTGGGCAACCAGTGCCTCACCACCCTCACAGTAAAGAACTTCCTTAAGTATTTGAATAGAGATCTGGATTAAATGATTTTTAAAGGACTTCTAAAACGAGTAATCTTTTTTCCCTTAGGCAGGAAATCCCGCTTCCCACTTCTGGACTTAGGAACAAAAAATCGGAGTGCAGACTGTGAGGATTTCAAAGAGCTT